ACCTGAGGGTAAAACAAATCTAAATGCCTAAGCACAATTTTGCAATGTTGACATATTAGTTAAACCGTTCGTATCATCACAACTACTTTGTACCGTGGTGGATTATACCGCGTTTTTTTTAGGACATATTGGGCTTTCATTTGGTGGTAAATGGTAATGGATATCTCCTGATTTGTATATATATATATTTTTTTTTTAATCAAAGGAAAACGGGCCCAAATAGTAAATAGTAAAAAAAATATATATATATATATATATATATATATATATATATATATATAATAATTTTTTTTTATTTTTTTTTTTTTAATTTAGCTGTACGTTTCTTATTACTACCATAACCTACCATCAAAGAACAACCCAAAATACATTCTCCAGCTCTTGAAGATTGCAGTGATACCATCTATGTGTATGTTATTTGTTGTTTGTGCCCGTAGTACAGCCCAGAAACAATAGTGCACATTTTGTTTTTTTTACCTAAAACACACTGACACTGATACCAATTTTTTTTTTTTTTAAATCCTGACCTTGACCAAAACACCCTGACACTGACCTAGATCAAACCTTGATCTAGATATTTTTTTCTTTATTTTTTATTTTATTTTTTAATATTTATTTATCTTTTTTATTTTTTATTTTACGAACATTTTTTCCCCTCTATGCCAGGAGTTAGAGAGATAACGTGTATCTCTCTCCTCCATTCATAGAGAGAAAAAAAAAAACACAAGGGGGGCCGGGCTGTACAGTGACTGATCACTGTGATAGCCAATCAGGCTATCACAGCGATCATGTGACCCGGAATCGGGAGACCCAGGACCCGACCGTTAGAACGGGGGTCCCGACCGTTAGAACGGGACCCCCGGGTCCCGACCGTTAGAACTGGGTCCCGACCGTCGTTAGAACGGGACCCCTGGGTCCCGATCGTTAGAACGGGACCCCCAACCATTAGAACGGGACCCGGGGCTCTCAGTGACACTGCGGTCTTTGTGCTGGGAGCGCGCCGTGCACAAAGACAGGTACGCAAATATGCGGCCCCACAGAAAAAAGCCCAGTTCTGTGAGGGCACATATTTGTCTTACGTCGGCATCAAGGGGTTTAAGGACTTGCAGGACATGACTGTGCTGTCTGGCAGGGTGCAAAGCATTCCAACCATGGTCAGTGTTTGGCGGGTGCAATGCCACCCTCCTGCAGACTCTTCTCCAGCTCTGTCTATACTTCTTTACAGGTTTTTAATTTAATTGGAAAGCTGGAGATGTCAATGAACTATGAGTGTGATCACAGCACTTGTATTCCATTGAGAACTTCAAATCCGTCTGCTGCGGTGGTAGATGGGACATGTAGTTTATTCATACGCAGATCTCTATGAATGAAGAATGTGACTGTGCACCATGTTAACACCCTAACATGGTGCAAATGGAAGAGTTGGCCTTTCAAGTATGTCTAGCAGTATGGGAGCCGCCATTGCTGACAAGTTATTGAAGATGCAAAATTGAAATCTGTCTTTCTGATATTGGCTGCATTTCTAATAACTCGCTCACTGGGGACAGTGTAAGATTTATATGAGGTGTATAAACGGATATATTTAAATGGAGCAAATGAGAGAGCGCAAAAAAGAGAGAGAGGGGTTTGTAAAGTTCACATACACTTCAAGCATCTTTGTGGCCAAGCTCTTCGTAGGAGTATGTACCATTCTGCAGCTTCATTTACACTCTGGCCAGAAGTTTGTGAACATCGGATCGTCACACCTATATGGACTTGTTGGTCTTCCCATTCCAAGACCATGGTCACCTATATGGTATTGTTGGTCTTCCCATTCCAAGACCATGGTCACCTATATGGTATTGTTGGTCTTCCCATTCCAAGACCATGGTCACCTATATGGTATTGTTGGTCTTCCCATTCCAAGACCATGGTCACCTATATGCTATTGTTGGTCTTCCCATTCCAAGACCATGGTCACCTATATGCTATTGTTGGTCTTCCCATTCCAAGACCATGGTCACCTATATGCTATTGTTGGTCTTCCCATTCCAAGACCATGGTCACCTATATGCTATTGTTGGTCTTCCCATTCCAAGACCATGGTCACCTATATGGTATTGTTGGTCTTCCCATTCCAAGACCATGGTCACCTGTATGGTATTGTTGGTCTTCCCATTCCAAGACCATGGTCACCTATATGGTATTGTTGGTCTTCCCATTCCAAGACCATGGTCACCTATATGGTATTGTTGGTCTTCCCATTCCAAGACCATGGTCACCTATATGCTATTGTTGGTCTTCCCATTCCAAGACCATGGTCACCTATATGCTATTGTTGGTCTTCCCATTCCAAGACCATGGTCACCTATATGGTATTGTTGGTCTTCCCATTCCAAGACCATGGTCACCTATATGGTATTGTTGGTCTTCCCATTCCAAGACCATGGTCACCTATATGGTATTGTTGGTCTTCCCATTCCAAGACCATGGTCACCTATATGGTATTGTTCCTTTACCATCCTCCACTCTTCCAGGAAGACTTTCCACAAGATTGTGGAGGGTGTCTGTGGGAATTTGTGGCCATTTGTGAGGTCAGGTACTGATGTTGGGCGGGAAGACCTGGCTGACCCAAAAGAGTTCGGTAGTTTTGAGGTCAGGGCTCAGTGAAGGGCACTTGAGTTCCTCCTCACCAAACTGGTCAGACCATGTCTTCATGGAGCTGGCTTTGTACATGGGGGCCCAGTCATGCCGGAACAGACAGAAAAGGGTCTTCACCAAACTGTTACCACAAGGTAAGGAAGTGCCAAATAAACGCGCAGAATGAAAAAATTTGTTTCGATCCATTATTTAAATAATTTCGCTTAGTTCAATTTATTTTCAGAACTTGTTCAGTTTCCTTTTATTCGTTTTGATTCTAATTGAACACGATTCGACAGAATTCAGAAAATTTGAATCGGCATTCGAATTTATTCTATTCAAAATTCTAATTTCAGAAGACTGTTATATTCTTTCTATTTTATTCTATTCAGTTGTGTTTTTTCTGTTCTATTTAATTTTTAATTTATTCTATTCTAATTTCAGAAGATGGCTATATTCATTCTATTTTTTTTCTATTCTGTTCTGGTTTTTTTTTTGTTTTTGTTTTTCTATTATCTATTGAAATGTATTCAAAATTTTGGAAGATGGTTTTATAGTGTTTTTTTTCTATTTTATTCTTTTCTATTATATTCCTTTTATTTTCTATTGTTTTCTATTCTTTTCTATTCCTTTATTTTCTATTCTATTACTTTCTATTCTTTTTTTTTTTTTTTAAATTCTAATGTTACCTTATTTTCTCTATTTTATTCTGTTGTACTCTGTTCTTGTTTTCAAATTCTATTTTGTTTAACCACCTCCCGTCCGGCCGTTGTATATAAACGGCCGGACGGTGGCAGTGCAGGGTCGGGTGGCCGTTCATAAACGGCCTCCCCGCACCCTGCTTGTGCGTGCTTCCTAGTAGCGCGCAGCACCGTGATCCGGTGCCCGCTGTGTCCTCCGGACACAGTGAAACACCGATCGTCGAACGGGACCTCTGTACGAGGTCCCGATCATGTGATCACTGATTGGCCAATCAGTGATCATCACATGCAAAGTAGTAAGCAAGATGTCACTTGTGATATCATTGCTCATTACGTGTGAAATCTGTGAATGATCACAGAGGTCACATGGTACAGGGCTATTCACAAAAGCCTTGTACCATGTGACAAGCTGTGACCAATCACAGCTCACTCAGTACTTCTCAATGAGTGCAGGAATGCACACAGAGAGAAAGAGAAATGATTGCTTTTACATCCTATATGGGTGTAAAAGCAATGTGTAAAAAAAAAAAAAAAAAAAAAAATCTTCATCACCCCCCACAAGTAGTACAGTGTCACCTTGGTGACACTGTACTGCTAGGGTGACAGTATGTAAAAAAAAATAAAATAAAATAAAAAATAATATAAAAAAATAAACTAAAAATTAAAAAAAATGTTTAAAAATTATTTTTGTTATAAACTAATTTGTTTTTTGTTTTTTTTTTACTAAAAAGATAACGGGATAAATTTTGGCAAAGATTTATGATGAAAATATTATTTATTTGCAAAATTTTATAAAAAAAAAAACACTTTTTTTCAAAATTTTTGGACTTTTTTCATTTACATAGCAAAAAAAATAAAAATCCCAACGGTGAATAAATACCACCAAAATAAAGCTTTATCTGTGTCAAAAAAATGGTAAAAAATTCATTTGGGTACAGCGTTGCATGATTGCGTAATTATCATTCAAAGCGTGATAGCGCTGAAAGCTGAAAATTGCCCTGGTCAGGAAGGGGGTATAAGTGTCCGGTCTTGAAGTGGTTAAATTCGATTTGAATTTCAGACTAAATTATTTCGGATTAATTTAAATCGGTTACTATTTTGATTCGCAAACGAAACACACGTGTCTTGTGCTAAATGATCTAAAAAAAAAATCCTTGTATGGTGTAGCATTAACGGTACCCTTCACTGGAAACATTGGACTTCCATATGCGCAAATAAAACCTGCGCAGCGGACTGGAGGTAGTGTGAATTGCGCTGTACACAAATATGTGCATAAGAATGTATATAAATGGGGAGGAAGGGTGCATATAAGGTGTAGTATATTTATATGGTAAGTCACGTATTTTATTTATTCAATCATTTGTGGGTCACAATCATGATTCAAGTGTGGCACAGATGGCAACATTTAGCATTTAAAAATCACAAGTGGCAGTGCAGCATTTATTTACATTGGAGTTCCGTAGTTTCTTTTTGTCGGTGTGATGGTCGGGTGTCCACAAACCATTGGCCATATGTGTGTTTTTTTTTTTGTTTTTTTTTTTAAACTGTGGATATAATAAAATATTGGCACAGCTATCTAAACACTGAAGGGTATTCAATGGGTTCTCTTCAACAATGACCTCTGAAAAGACAAATGTCCTTTTTATATGTAACCCTTTTATCCTTTTTGTGTTTCCTCAGACCCCAGGATAGGCCATTACCCCCTCATGCACTCGCCTTTCCTGCCTGGCGCCATACTCCTGTTCTATGTCTACTTCGTCCTGTCTCTGGGGCCACGGTTGATGGCCAATAGGAAGCCCTTCGACCTGAAGCCTTTGATGGTGTTGTACAACTTCAGCCTGGTGGCGCTGTCTGCGTATATCGTTTATGAGGTGGGTGACATTTACAGGACACTGACAGAAGCCATGGTTCCCACATGTGTGGAAGTACAAATCTTGTGCTAGGATGTCCCCCGCACATGTCAGAGAATGGATCTCTGCCACTTATGCAAAATGTATCCTTGCAGGGGCCCCCGCGCCAAACTGTAGCCTGGGGACCAGATGTGGCCCTTTGTTTACCTTTTTATCCAGCCCTTAGATTAGTTTGCTTTCCACGAGGAGGCACTGTTCCTCGAGCTGACGCCGGTGCTGGGGGCTCTGCTCCTCGAGCTGACGCCGGTGCTGGGGGCTCTGCTCCTCGCGCTGACGCCGGTGCTGGGGGCTCTGCTCCTCGCGCTGACGCCGGTGCTGGGGGCTCTGCTCCTCGCGCTGACGCCGGTGCTGGGGGCTCTGCTCCTCGCGCTGACGCCGGTGCTGGGGGGCTCTGCTCCTCGCGCTGACGCCGGTGCTGGGGGCTCTGCTCCTCGCGCTGACGCCGGTGCTGGGGGCTCTGCTCCTCGCGCTGACGCCGGTGCTGGGGGCTCTGCTCCTCGCGCTGACGCCGGTGCTGGGGGCTCTGCTCCTCGCGCTGACGCCGGTGCTGGGGGCTCTGCTCCTCGCGCTGACGCCGGTGCTGGGGGCTCTGCTCCTCGCGCTGACGCCGGTGCTGGGGGCTCTGCTCCTCGCGCTGACGCCGGTGCTGGGGGCTCTGCTCCTCGCGCTGACGCCGGTGCTGGGGGCTCTGCTCCTCGCGCTGACGCCGGTGCTGGGGGCTCTGCTCCTCGCGCTGACGCCGGTGCTGGGGGCTCTGCTCCTCGCGCTGACGCCGGTGCTGGGGGCTCTGCTCCTCGCGCTGACGCCGGTGCTGGGGGCTCTGCTCCTCGCGCTGACGCCGGTGCTGGGGGCTCTGCTCCTCGCGCTGACGCCGGTGCTGGGGGCTCTGCTCCTCGCGCTGACGCCGGTGCTGGGGGCTCTGCTCCTCGCGCTGACGCCGGTGCTGGGGGCTCTGCTCCTCGCGCTGACGCCGGTGCTGGGGGCTCTGCTCCTCGCGCTGACGCCGGTGCTGGGGGCTCTGCTCCTCGCGCTGACGCCGGTGCTGGGGGCTCTGCTCCTCGCGCCGGTGCTGGGGGCTCTGCTCCTCGCGCCGGTGCTGGGGGCTCTGCTCCTCGCGCCGGTGCTGGGGGCTCTGCTCCTCGCGCCGGTGCTGGGGGCTCTGCTCCTCGCGCCGGTGCTGGGGGCTCTGCTCCTCGCGCCGGTGCTGGGGGCCCCCGTCTTTGGTGTCATAGGGCCCCCGTCTTTGGTGTCATAGGGCCCCCGTCTTTGGTGTCATAGGGCCCCCGTCTTTGGTGTCATAGGGCCCCCGTCTTTGGTGTCATAGGGCCCCCGTCTTTGGTGTCATAGGGCCCCCGTCTTTGGTGTCATAGGGCCCCCGTCTTTGGTGTCATAGGGCCCCCCGTCTTTGGTGTCATAGGGCCCCCGTCTTTGGTGTCAGTGGGAGGAATCGTGCCCCAAGGGCCGAATAAAAGCAAGCAAAGGGCCGCATCTGGCCCTTGGGCTACAGTTTGGAGACCACAGCTTTAAGTTGCAAGGTGGGGCCTCCATGGATCAGACTTGTTTTTCCAGCTCATTCCACAGATACTTTATTAGGTTGAGATCTGGAGAATTTGGAGGACAAGCCAACACCTCAAACTCATTGTTGTGTTCCTCACACCAGTTTTGCAGTGTGGCAGGGCGCATTATCCTGCTGAAAGAGGACACTGCCATCAGGGAACACCATTTTCATGAAGGGGTGTACTTGGTTACCAACGATGTTTAGGTAGGTGGTTGGTGTCAAGTATCATCCACGTGGAAGGCAGGAGCCAAGGCTTCCCAGCAGAACATTCCCCAAAGCATCACACACTGCCTTCCCCGGCTTGTCTTCTACCCATACTGCACCTGGTGCCATCTCTCCCAGGTAAGTGATGAACACGCACCCAGCCATCCACATGATATAAAAGAAAATGTGATTGATCAGACCAAGCCACCTTCTTCCATTGCTTCGTTGTCCAGTTCTGATGGTCAAGTGCCCATTGGAGGTGCTTTTGGCTGTGGACATGGGTCGTCGTGGGCACCCTAACCGGTCTACGGTTACGCCTCCCCATTTGTAACAAACTGTGATGCCCATTATTTTTTTCTGTTTTTAGCGCCGCAACTTCAGGGACAACATGTTCACTTGCTGCCTAATTTATGCCATTGTAACAAGGTAATCAATACCATTAGTCAGTGGTCATCAAGTTATGGCTGATCTGTGTAAATGGCTGCAATAAACCAAATAAAACCTTGGAATACAGGGCCACCTTAGATCTTGGCTACTGAGAAAATGGTGCCATTTATCAATTCATGGTCTCCCTTATGGCAGTAATAAATTGATAACGCAGCTTCTGCTGGAAGGATAACATGCGTTTTTGTCTCTTCTTTAGTTTCTCATGTCTGGCTGGTTGACTGGATACACCTGGAAGTGCGACCCTGTGGACCAATCAGATTCACCAATGGGCATGCGGGTGAGTGACATCTCCTGGGGTGGGGGAGCTTTTATAATGATTATTTAATGACTCATGAATGCAAAAAATCCATAGAGTGAGCCGCCCCCCGCCGCCTCGTACCACCTGCCACCTCCTGAACTTTGCCCACGGTGGTGCTAGGTACGCAGCTTCACCCCTTATCTGTATCCTCATTACTTTCCCTATTAACCCGTGCCAGGACTCTCCCACCTCTGCCGTGACGTCCCTCCGGGTTTATGGCGTTATAAAACATGACTGTACGTCCCGTCCTTCACTTGAAGGATGATGAATAGCCCTGGGATTCCTTGTCCCGCACAACCAGACAGACCAGCAGATACTTCAGTGAGGATCTGTCAGATCGACGTAGAGTATACGTTGTACCGATCACTACAGCGCCGCACGCATGTCAACCGCCAGTGATTACATGTTATTCACAGCCATCCTAGATTGTAAGCTCCCAGGATCAGGCCCTCCCTCTTAGATTGTAAGCTCCCAGGATCAGGGCCCTCCCTCTTAGATTGTAAGCTCCCAGAATCATGCCCTCCCTCTTAGATTGTAAGCTCCCAGGATCAGGCCCCTCCCTCTTAGATTGTAAGCTCCCAGGATCAGCCCCTCCCTCTTAGATTGTAAGCTCCCAGGATCAGCCCCTCCCTCTTAGATTGTAAGCTCCCAGGATCAGCCCCTCCCTCTTAGATTGTAAGCTCCCAGGATCAGGGCCCCTCCCTCTTAGATTGTAAGCTCCCAGGATCAGGCCCCTCCCTCTTAGATTGTAAGTTCCCAGGATCAGCCCCTCCCTCCTAGATTGTAAGCTCCCAGGATCAGCCCCTCCCTCTTAGATTGTAAGCTCCCAGGATCAGCCCCTCCCTCTTAGATTGTAAGCTCCCAGGATCAGCCCCTCCCTCTTAGATTGTAAGCTCCCAGGATCAGCCCCTCCCTCTTAGATTGTAAGCTCCCAGGATCAGCCCCTCCCTCTTAGATTGTAAGCTCCCAGGATCAGCCCCTCCCTCTTAGATTGTAAGCTCCCAGGATCAGCCCCTCCCTCTTAGATTGTAAGCTCCCAGGATCAGCCCCTCCCTCTTAGATTGTAAGCTCCCAGGATCAGCCCCTCCCTCTTAGATTGTAAGCTCCCAGGATCAGCCCCTCCCTCTTAGATTGTAAGCTCCAAGGATCAGCCCCTCCCTCTTAGATTGTAAGCTCCCAGGATCAGGGCCCTCCTATCCCTCTTGTATTGATCTGTATTGTTGCTGTATTGTCTCCCGTTATATTGTACAGCGCTGAGCAAACTGTTGGCACCATAAATCCTGTATAATAATAATACAGATTTTTTTTTTTTTCCAGAATAAAACATTCTAATTCACATAAAACTCAAGAAAACCAAAAATCGTACCCACATTTTCCCAAAACCATGCAAATCTCTCCTCTTTTCTTTTCATTAATATGTATTTATAGATATTTTATTACATAGTCTGGCGGAAAAAAAGACAAAGTCCATCAGTTAAACCATAAAAAAAAAAAAAAAGTCATAATCCTATATCCACATTTTGATCCAGAGGAAGGCAAAAAATCCAGCAAAGCATGATCCAATTTGCTCCTGCAGGGGAAGGAATTCCTTCCTGATCCCCCGAGTGGCAATCGGATATTTGGAGATCATATCCCCCCCTTATGTATTATACATGGAGATCATATCCCCCCTTATGTATTATACATGGAGATCATATCCCCCCTTATGTATTATACTTGGAGATCATATCCCCCCTTATGTATTATACATGGTGATCATATCCCCCCCTAATGTATTATACATGGAGACCATATCCCCCTTATGTATTATACATGGAGATCATATCCCCCCTTATGTATTATACATGGAGATCATATCCCCCCCTTATGTATTATACATGGAGATCATATCCCCCCTTATGTATTATACTTGGAGATCATATCCCCCCTTATGTATTATACATGGTGATCATATCCCCCCCTAATGTATTATACATGGAGACCATATCCCCCTTATGTATTATACATGGAGATCATATCCCCCCTTATGTATTATACATGGAGATCATATCCCCCCCTTATGTATTATACATGGAGATCATATCCCCCCTTATGTATTATACATGGAGATCATATCCCCCCTTATGTATTATACATGGTGATCATATCCCCCCTTATGTATTATACATGGAGATCATATCCCCCCTTATGTATTATACATGGTGATCATATCCCCCCTTATGTATTATACATGGAGATCATATCCCCCCTTATGTATTATACATGGAGATCATATCCCCCTTATGTATTATACATGGAGATCATATCCACCCTTATGTATTATACATGGAGATCATATCCCCCTTATGTATTATACATGGAGATCATATCCCCCCTTATGTATTATACATGGTGATCATATCCCCCCTTATGTATTATACATGGAGATCATATCCCCCCTTATGTATTATACATGGAGATCATATCCCCCTTATGTATTATACATGGAGATCATATCCACCCTTATGTATTATACATGGAGATCATATCCCCCTTATGTATTATACATGGAGATCATATCACCCCTTATGTATTATACATGGTGATCATATCCCCCCTTATGTATTATACATGGAGATCATATCCCCCTTATGTATTATACATGGAGATCATATCCACCCTTATGTATTATACATGGAGATCATATCCCCCTTATGTATTATACATGGAGATCATATCACCCCTTATGTATTATACATGGTGTCATATCCCCCCTTATGTATTATACATGGAGATCATATCCTCCCTTATGTATTATACATGGAGATCATATCCCCCCTTATGTATTATACATGGAGATCATATCCCCCCTTATGTATTATACATGGAGATCATATCCCCCCCTTATGTATTATACATGGAGATCATATCCCCCTTATGTATTATACATGGAGATCATATCCCCCCTTATGTATTATACATGGAGATCATATCCCCCCTTATGTATTATACATGGAGATCATATCCCCCCTTATGTATTATACATGGAGATCATATCCCCCCCCCCTTATGTATTATACATGGAGATCATATCCCCCCCCCTTATGTATTATACATGGAGATCATATCCCCCTTATGTATTATACATGGAGATCATATCCCCCCCTTATGTATTATACATGGAGATCATATCCCCCTTATGTATTATACATGGAGATCATATCCCCCCCCCTTATGTATTATACATGGAGATCATATCCCCCCTTATGTATTATACATGGGAGATCATATCCCCCCTTATGTATTATACATGGAGATCATATCCCCCTTATGTATTATACATGGAGATCATATCCCCCCTTATGTATTATACATGGAGATCATATCCCCCCTTATGTATTATACATGGAGATCATATCCCCCCTTATGTATTATACATGGAGATCATATCCCCCTTATGTATTATACATGGAGATCATATCCCCCCTTATGTATTATACATGGAGATCATATCCCTCCTTATGTATTATACATGGAGATCATATCCCCCCCCCTTATGTATTATACATGGAGATCATATCCCCCCCCCTTATGTATTATACATGGAGATCATATCCCCCCCCCTTATGTATTATACATGGTGATCATATCCCCCCTTATGTATTATACATGGAGATCATATCCCCCTTATGTATTATACATGGAGATCATATCCCCCTTATGTATTATACATGGAGATCATATCCCCCCTTATGTATTATACATGGTGGTCCAGCATTTCTCTATCAGGGTTGTGTATCACTTTACCAGGGGTGCCATGCTGCATCCAGTATTTTGCACAGTGTCATGTGTTTCGTGTTGCAAACAGGCCAGCCTCCAGTGCCATGGAAACGCATGACACTAATTCAGGGTGGGTGGCATTCCGTGCAGCTGCACTAAGGTGAGATGAGAGGGGGGGGGCTGGAGGACTCTTTATGTGAAAGGATGGGGAACAGAAGACTATGATGTTAAAGGTGGGGGTGCTGAGGACTCTGAAAACGTGGTGGTTGTGGGGCTGGAACTCTGATGTGAAAGGACGAAGTGAGCTGGGGACTCTGATGTGAAAGGATGGGGGGGCTGGGGACTCTGATGTGAAAGGACGGGGGGGCTGGGGACTCTGATGTGAAAGGATGGGGTGAGCTGGGGACTCTGATGTGAAAGGATGGGGTGAGCTGGGGACTCTGATGTGTAAGGGTGGGGGGGCTGAGAATGGCAGGAGAGGAGCAGTGTACATAGTGAGATACCGCCAAATGTCACTGCCGGTTTTTTTAAATGTAATTACCGGATTTGTTTTTTTTCCCCCTTCACTATTGCTCTGAGAATGAGCTGTCATCCTCTACTTCACTAAGGGGCGGGATTACCCAGTGACCCCGCCCCTTTGTTTCCTTTAGCGGCGGGGAGAATGACAGCTCATTCTTGGATCTATAGTGAAGAAACAAAAAGCCGATAATTACATTACAGTGACATATAGGGGCAGCCAGTGAGGGAGCCTCTCTGTATACACTGCTCCTGTCCTGCCCCCTCCCTGCACACATTGCCCCCCCCCCACCCTACCCCCTACAAAGGGGACCTGTCACTCATATGCTATCACATAGCGGACGATTGGTCCTTTATGTGATAGCAAAATCATAAGTTTCAAAAAATAAAAATACACCTTAAAGTTGAAAAAGAAAAGAAAAAATTGAGCCTCCCCACCCCCACATACGTAGACGTTTTGGTTTTTGGCCGCGTGCATTCTGAATTTTCGGTATTGGTTTCTGGACCAGAATTTTCATGTCACTTGCAGTATGGCTTACAAGTCCAGGGATGTCCATCTATTCCAGTGTAACGTTCAGTTTGTACGCTACACATAAAGCTTCCAGTTCCATTGTGAGACTGTAGTGTGGGCAAAGCTCCGTCATCATCCCCCATTGGTCAGCTTCTTGGTCAGTAGGACTGGTTCCTGGGACTTAGCTGCTCTACTACGTGTCTGTCCTTCAGATGGTTCCTCCTTCCACCCACACTAGGTGAGCCTGGTTCTGTACTGGCGGTATAGAAGAGAGCAGTCAAGCTCTAGTATCTGCCGGATCAAGTAGTCCTGCCATAGTAAAGGTCCGGGGAGAGCGGATATAGTGAATGAGGGGTCCGTGGAGAGCGGATATAGTTGAATGCGGGGTCCGGGGAGAGCGGATATAGTGAATGAGGGGTCCGTGGAGAGCGGATATAGTGAATGCAGGGTCCAGGGAGAGCGGATATAGTGAATGCGGGTCCGGGGAGAGCGGATATAGTGAATGCGGGGTCCAGGGAGAGCGGATATAGTGAATGAGGGGTCCGGGGAGAGCGGATATAGTGAACGCAGGGTCCGGGGAGAGCGGATATAGTGAATGCAGGGTCCGGAGAGAGCGGATATAGTGAACGCAGGGTCCGGGAGAGCGGATATAGTGAATGCTGGGTCCGGGGAGAGTGGACATAGTGAATGCTGGGTCCGGGGAGAGTGGACATAGTGAATGCGGGGTCCGGGGAGAGCGGATATAGTGAATGCGGGGTCCGGGGAGAGCGGATATAGGGAATGCGGGGTCCGGGGAGAGCGGATATAGTGAATGCTGGGGGTCCGGGGAGAGCGGATATAGTGAATGCTGGGTCCGGGGAGAGTGGACATAGTGAATGCTGGGTCCGGGGAGAGTGGACATAGTGAATGCGGGGTCCGGGGAGAGTGGACATAGTGAATGCGGGGTCCGGGGAGAGCGGACATAGTGAATGCGGGGTCCGGGGAGAGCGGACATAGTGAATGCGGGGTCCGGGGAGAGCGGACATAGTGAATGCGTGGGGTCCGGGGAGAGCGGATATAGTGAATGCAGGATCCGGGGAGAGCGGATATAGTGAATGCTGGATCCGGGGAGAGCGGATATAGTGAATGCTGGATCCGGGGAGAGCGGACATAGTGAATGCGGGGTCCGGGGAGAGCGGATATAGTGAATGCTGGGTCCGGGGAGAGTGGACATAGTGAATGCTGGGGTCCGGGGAGAGTGGACATAGTGAATGCGGGGTCCGGGGAGAGCGGATATAGTGAATGCTGGATCCGGGGAGAGCGGACATAGTGAATGCGGGGTCCGGGGAGAGCGGATATAGTGAATGCTGGGTCCGGGGAGAGCGGACATAGTGAATGCGGGGTCCGGGGAGAGCGGACATAGTGAATGCGGGGTCCGGGGAGAGCGGACATAGTGAATGCGGGGTCCGGGGAGAGCGGACATAGTGAATGCTGGGTCCGGGGAGAGCGTACATAGTGAATGCTGGGTCCGGGGAGAGCGGACATAGTGAATGCGGGGTCCGGGGAGAGCGGACATAGTGAATGCGGGGTCCGGGAGAGCGGATATAGTGAATGCGGGGTCCGGGGAGAGCGGACATAGTGAATGCGGGGTCCGGGGAGAGCGGACATAGTGAATGCGGGGTCCGGGGAGAGCGGACATGGTGAATGCTGGGTCCGGGGAGAGCGGACATAGTGAATGCGGGGTCCGGGGAGAGCGGATATAGTGAATGCGGGGTCCGGGAGAGCGGACATAGTGAAAATGCGGGGTCCGGGGAGAGCGGATATAATGAATGCGGGGTCCGGGGAGAGCGGATATAGTGAATGCGGGGTCCGGGGAGAGCGGATATAGTGAATGCTGGGTCCGGGGAGAGCGGATATAGCGAATGCCGGGAAGAAGACTTTTGAAGGATGGCCTGGTGTCAAGAAGGGCAGCAAAGAAGCCGCTTCTCTCCAGGAAAAACATCCGGGACAGACTGATATTGACAGTGGTCAAGTGACATGCTGATAGGAAGAGAGTGCAGACTGACACAGCTCATTATTACAACCAAAAATAATAAATGCACATGTTTTCACCTGCAAAATAATGTGCATTTCTTTTTTTTTTTTTTTTCTTTTTTTAGTAAAAAGCGAACTTCTTTTTAAGTGTTTCCTGCCAGCCAACATAGGAGTGCAGGCTTGGCTTGTCCTAGTTATAGATTGTAAGCTCTTAGGCTGGTCATAAATTATGCAATTTCTTGTACAATTCTCCTTTTAGATTAACAAAACCATATATTATTATTATACAGGATTTATATATTATTATTATTATACAGGATTTATATTATTATTATTATACAGGATTTATATATTATTATTATTATACAGGATTTTATATTATTATTATTATACAGGATTTATATATTATTATTATACAGGATTTATATATTATTATTATACAGGATTTATATATTATTATTATACAGGATTTATGGCGCCAACAGTTTGCTCAGCACTTTACAATATAACAGGAGACAATACAGCAACAATACAGTTCAATACAAGAGGGATAGGAGGGCCCTGATCCTGGGAGCTTACAATCTAGGAGATGAGGTCAAACCGGAACACTTTTTTTTTCAGTTTGTAATGCAATCAGGCAGCCTTTGCATTACATAGCTGAAGGTAATTCTAAAGAAAATTGAATAAGAAAAATGTATAATGTATGGCCACCTTGGAGCAGGACCTTCCGAACCTTCATATGTTCAATTGTACGGTAACCGGGCTTTCTCTTTACTTTGTAAAATGCTGTACAAACGATCGATGCTATAAATCCTGTATAATGAGAGGGGTGGTGTATGTGGAGTAATGACTTCATTTTTTACTATTTTCAGATGGTTCAAGTGGCCTGGCTATTCTTATTCTCCAAATTCATTGAGCTCCTTGATACCGTAAGTATCGTTTCTTCTGTTTTTGTATATTGTAAAAAAAAGAACCTGTAATAGTGGCAGATTTATTGACCAAACATTCTATGTCCATTTCTGTCCAGGGCAGTTGTGGCCAATCTAAAGGGGAATTTGTCTTTCTTTTCCCCTCCCCCCGCCCTTTTTTTTCTCCCCCCTTTTCCCTTCCCCCCCCCTTTCTTTTCCCCCCCCCCCCCCCCCCCTTTCCCCCTTCCCCCCCCTTCTCCCCCTTCTCCCCCTTCCCCCCCGTTTTTTCCCCCCCCCCCTTCTACCCCCTTCTCCCCCCTTCCCCCCCCCCCCCCCCCTTTCTCCCCCTTCTCCTCTCCCCCTTCCCCCTCTCTCCCCCTTCTCCCCTTCTCCCCCCCCCCTTCTCCCCCTTCCCCCCCCCTTCTCCCCCTTCTCCCCCCCCCCCCCCTTCCCCCCCTCCCCTTTCTCCCCCCCCTTCTCCCCCCCCCTCCCTTTCTCCCCCTTCCCCCCCTCCCCTTTCTCCCCTTTCCCCCCCTCCCTTTCTCCCCCTTCTCTCCCTTCCCCCCCTTTCTCCCCCTTCTCTCCCCTTCCCCCCCCTTTCTCCCCCTTCTCCCCCTTCCCCCCCCCCCACCCTTTCTCCCCCTTTTTTCCCCCCCCCCACCCTTTCTCCCCCTTCCCCCCCCACCCTTTCTTTTCCCCCTTCCCCCCCCCCCCACCCTTTCTCCCCCCCCTTCCCCCCCCCCCCACCCTTTCTCCCCCTTCCCCCCCCCCCACCCTTTCTCCCCCTTCCCCCCCCCTTACCCTTTTCTCCCTCCTTCCCCCCCCCCCCCCCACCCTTTCTCCCCCTTCGCCCCCCCCCACCCTTTCTCCCCCTTCCCCCCCCCCCCACCACCCTTTCTCCCCCTTCCCCCCCCCCCCACCCTTCTCCCCCTTCCCCCCCCCCCACCCTTTCTCCCCCTTCCCCCCCCCCCCCCCCACCCTTTCTCCCCCTTCCCCCCCCCCCACCCTTTCTCCCCCTTTCCCCCCCCCCACCCTTTCTCCCCCTTCCCCCCCCCCCCCCACCCTTTCTTTCCTCCCCCTTCCCCCCCCCCCACCCTTTTTCCCCCTTCCCCCCCCCCCAACCCTTTCTCCCCCTTCCCCCCCCCCCCCCCCCCCCACCCTTTCTCCCCCTTCCCTTCCCCCCCCCCCCCCACCCTTTCTCCCCCTTCCCCCCCCCCCCCACCCTTCTCCCCCTTCTCCCCCTTCCCCCCCCCCCCCTTTCTCCCCCTTCCCCCCCCCCCCTTTCTCCCCCCCTTCCCCCCCCCCCCCCACCCTTTCTCCCCCCTTCCCCCCCCCCACCCCTTTCTCCCCCTTCCCCTCCCTCCCTTTCCCCCTCCCTTCTCTCCCTCCCTTTCCCCCTTCTCCCTTTCCCCCTCCCTCCCTCCCTTTCCCCCCTCCCTCCCTCCCTTTCCCCCCCCCCCCCCCCCCTTTATTTCTTTTTTAAAAATCATTAATTACAAATATTTTAGATGCATAGTCTGGCTGAAAAAAGACAAAAGTCCATCCAATTCAACCATAAAAAAAGGAAAAAAAAGGTTATAATCCTACAACCCACAGTTGAAACCGCAAAGCACGATCCAATCTCCTCCTGCAGGGAAAAAATTCCTTCCTGATCCCCCGAGAGGCAATCGGATATTCCCGGGATCACCTTTACCTATAAATGTTATATCCAGTTATATTCTGTGTATCCAAGAAAAAATCCAGGACTTTCCTACAGCAATCCACTGAGCTGGCCACAACCAACTCTGGAGGGATTCTAGATGCTGAGCTTTTAAAAAATCGGGTACTTACTAGTACCTTGAGTCCAGTGCCGGCTTCACATGGCCAGTTCTTACTACTTCAGGTGCACCGTGCCACCATCTTGGATATGAGAGCTGACAATGGCTTCATGGAGAACCACAACCAGCTCCCCACTACACATGTGTGAACTTACGCAGCACTTTTTAAAAGGTCCTCCAGCCTCCTGGGATGTGTGACAAAAGTCATTATTCAATTATTTAAATCTGCTTTCATTAACCTAATCACCAGTAATCCTGCCAGGAAAGTCCTTGTTCAGATACTTCCTGTTATAGGGTAACAGCACTCCGTCCCTGGCCCCCAGTTCCTGTGGTGTCACATAGTGTGGCTCCTGTGGTGTCACATAGTATTCTGATGGAGGCTTGAAGTGGCTTTTTATAGCACACATCACCCAGGAATGATCCAGTGCAGTGCCGAGACAAGGTCATTCGGTGCCCAGGGCGGATATGCCAAAAGGTGCTGCCCCCCCCCCCCCCCCCCCCCCCAAAAAAAAAAAATGTATTGGCATTGTCGGCAAAAATCCTCTGCCCCCCCTTACATCCTAAGCATAAATTCCCTTTGAAAGCCAAAATTTTCCCCCCAAAATAATTGCCTTTCTTTCAGTACAAATCCCCCCCCCTCTCCAGTTCATATTCTCTCCCTGCCCAACCCTTCCTAGCACAATTTCTCTACCTCTGAAATGTCCCTTCTGAGCATAAAGCACAGGGCAGCACAGTGGCTAAATGGTTAGCACTTCCTCCTGGCAGTACTCGGGTCATTGGTTCAAATCCCAACCATGGCACCACCTGCCTGGAGGTCTCCCTGTGCCTGCATGGGTTTCCTCCTCGGGTACTCCGGTTTCCTCCCACACTCCAAAGACATGCTGGTAGGTTAATTGGCTCCTGTCTAAATTGTCCCTAGTATGTGTATGTATGAATGTGAGTTAGTGACCTTAGATTATACGCCCCTTGAGGGTTAGGGACCTTAGATTGTACGCCCCTTGAGGGTTCGGGACCTTAGATTGTACGCCCCTTGAGGGTTCGGGACCTTAGATTGTACACCCCTCGGGGCGGGGACTGATGTGAATGTACAATATATATGTAAAGTGCTGCGTAAATTGACGGCGCTATATGAGTGCCTGAAATAAATAAATCATGTCCCCTCTCTAAATCTAAATCCCCCTCTCCCTGCACAATTCCTCCCCTAAATCCCCTCTTCGAGCACTAATCCTTCCCCCAAATTTCCCCTCAAAGAACAAATCCCTTCAGTCATTTATTTAATTATATTTATTTCAGGTACTTATACAGCGCCGTCAGTTTACGCAGCGCTTTACATATATATTGTACATTCACATCAGTCCCTAACCCTCAAGGGGCGTACTACAATCTAAGGTCCCTGACCCTCAAGGGGCGTACAATCTAAGGTCCCTGACCCTCAAGGGGCGTACAATCTAAGGTCCCTAACCCTCAAGGGGCGTACAATCTAAGGCCCCTAACCCTCAAGGGGCGTACAATCTAAGGCCCCTAACCCTCAAGGGGCGTACAATCTAAGGCCCCTAACCCTCAAGGGGCGTACAATCTAAGGCCCCTAACCCTCAAGGGGCGTACAATCTAAGGTCCCTAACCCTCAAGGGGCGTACAATCTAAGGCCCCTAACCCTCAAGGGGCGTACAATCTAAGGCCCCTAACCCTCAAGGGGCGTACAATCTAAGGGGTCCCTAACCCTCAAGGGGGTGTACAATCTAAGGTCCCTAACTCACATTCATACATACACATACTAGGACAATTTATACAGGATCCAATTAACCTACCAGCATGTCTTTGGAGTGTGGGAGGAAACCGGAGTACCCGGAGAAAACCCACGCAGGCACAGGGAGAACATGCAAACTCCAGGCAGGTGGTGCCGTGGCTGGGATCCGAACCAACGACCCTAGTACTGCCAGGTGGAAATGCTAACTAATTAGCCCCTGTGCTGCCCAGTCATCCCTACTAGCACAAATCACTCCCCCCAATTCCATCTTCCCAACAGAAATCCACTCTCCTAGTACAAATCTCCCCTCCAAATCGCCCATTCCTAGCACAAAATCTGCACCCGTGTCCAGGGCAGCCGCCCCTTCTGTCCACCCCTTGTCTCGGTCCTGATCCAGTGTTATGAACAGGAATGCCACGCAGTCTTCTCTGGAATGCATATAGACAGGAACTGGCCAAAACAAAGATGGGAGGAAAAAAGGTGGTGAAAAGGATTTTATAGAAAAAAAAAAACATTTGTGATACACAGCAAAGTAAATGCCATTCACTTGGTTTACTGTAAGGACTTGACTGTGTTCTCTTTGTCGAAGTCTGTTTTTTGTCTCCCTCCTTGGCAGGTCTTCTTTGTGCTGAGGAAGAAAAACAGCCAGATTACATTTCTGCACATCTTCCATCACTCTGTCCTGCCCTGGAGCTGGTGGTGGGGTGTTAAGTTCGGTCCAGGTAAGCACCCTTTAGAGGATTTGTGGCTCGATGTGACCTCCGCTGTCCCTGCCTTGGCATGCTGACCCATGTCTCCTTTATCTCTGCCAGGTGGTATGGGATCCTTCCACGCCATGATCAACTCTCTGGTGCACGTCATCATGTACTTCTACTATGGGCTGTCCGCTGCCGGGCCACGCTTCCAGAAATATCTTTGGTGGAAGAAGCACATGACCGCCATCCAGCTGGTAAGAAAGAGAAGTAAATTCAAGTCCGCAGTTCTGGTTCTCCCAGCGGTACACCCAGAGGTCGACCCGACCAGCAAGAAAGGGGACAGTCTAACCAAACTTGGTCCTGTATAGAAGTAACTGAACCATACACCTTGGTCAGTGTGGCATCTTCTGATCACACGCCTACATTTGTGGACCCCTTGAAATGACTGAGTTCAGGTGTCTCCAGTGAAGGGTACTGTTCATACTACATACAAAGGACATTTTAGACAGTTGTCCACTTTCAAACTTGTAGTAACTGTTTGGTGAAGTAAACCGCATGACTGGGCCCGTGTGTAAAGCCAGCCCCATAAAGACACGGTTTGACCAGTTTGGTGTGGAGTAACTTGAGTGTCCTGAACAAAGCCCTGACCTCAACCCTACTGAACGCTTTTGGGATGAATGCTGATTGTGACCCAGGTCTTCTCATCCAAAGTCATCACCTGACCTTACGATGGGCACAAATGCTCTATAATTTCCCAGAAGGGTGGAGGCTGCTGTGGCTGCAAAGAGTGGAGTAGGGGGGGGGGGTTAGATCCATATTAACGGCTATGGTTTTTGAATGGGTTGCCCAACAAGTTCATATAGGTGTAGTGATCCTGTAACTGACCCGGACCCTGACTGCACTAGGGTATTTCTGTCCGAACACATTTCCTGGTTTTACTTTGAGTGGTGTCCGTGGATCTAAGACTGCTTTATTTTAACACAGACACAAGATATATTCATTCAAGGGAACAACCCCCCTCCCTGCATATGGACATAGGGCAGGGCAAACCAAATCTAGCACCTAGAGACTCATCAGCAGACACCCCCCACCAAGCCAAATACACACACCCCCCACCAAGCCAATACACACACATACATCCCATAATAGTTTGCTCCCAAGCAAGACACACAATAGAACAATGGGATGCACCACATGGCAGTAGACGGTGAACAACCCCCCCCACCCCACCTATACATGTCTACACAATATCAGGACATTCCACCCTGTACACCTAACAGGCACAGGGTGACTTACACATAGGAGGGATACGGGGAGCTGAGACAGGGGTCTCCCCACCCCTCCAACGTGAGCTGGGTTCCATAAATGAAAGTCCAAAAATTTGGAAAAGTTTTTTTCTTATAGAATTTTGCAAATAAATAATATTTCATCATAAATCTTTGCCATAATGTGTTCAGTTATCTTTTTAGTAAAAAAAAAAAAACCCAAATATAATTTAAAAATGTTTTTTTACAGTTTTCATTTTTTTTTAATGTTTGTTTTTTTTTCTACATACTGTCACCCTAGCAGTACAATGTCACCATAGTGACACTGTACTACTTGTGGGGGGGTGATCATTTTTTTTTTTTTTTTTTACACTGATTGTTTTTACAGCCTTTATGGGTGTAAAAGCAATCATTTCTCCTTCTCTCTGGCTGCATTCCTGCAGCCATTGAGAACTGTGTGAGCTGTGATTGGTCACAGCTTGTCACATGGTACAAGGCTGTTGTGAATAGCCCTGTACCATGTGATCTCTGTGATCATTCACAGATTTCACACGTAGTAAACAATGATGTCAGAAGTGACATCTTGCTTACTACTCTGCATGTGATCGCTGATTGGCCAATCAGTGATCACATGATCGGGACCTTGCACAGAGGTCCCGTACGACAATCGGTGTTCCACTGTGTCCGGAGGACACAGCGGGCACCGGATCACGGTGCTGCGCGCTCCCAGGGAGCGCGCACAGTCCAAAATGGTAGGTGCCGTTTATGAACGGCAACCCACCCCTGGACTGCCACAGTTGGGCCGTTTTATATACAGCGGGCCGGACGGCAAGTGGTTAATGAATAAAAAAAAAGATGGCCTGAAGAAGGAGCGCATGCTACGCAACGTGTCGCCATCTTTGGTCTTCAGTTCTGGTCATTGACATCACTTCCTCCTTCGGCTGTGTTCCACGCCGATCAGGAAGCCCTGGGAGCCTCCAGAACAGCCTGCAAGCCGGTTCACAGCCACCGCCATTGCGGTCCAGGACCCTTACTGATGGCCATCCTGTTGTTACCCATGCGTAAAGAGAACTACCTTTTTTGTGAGTGTTTTTATTCATTAAAACGGGTTTTTAACTACTACACCCAGATGGCGCTTGTTTTTTTCTCTTTGTTGTAGGAGCTGGAGATGGCTTGGTCAGAAATTCAAGCTGCCTTATAGTGGACATTAGAGACTTCATAATTCCATGGACTTTGTTTTTTATAATACCCTTTACAATATCCCTGTTTGTTCATACCTAGTGTTGCTCAATTGTTTGTTCTGTTACTACTTTGCTGCTCACTCTTCTCCTTGCTGGAGGCTTTGACATAGAGAAGCAAAGCCTTGCTTTTACCAAGATGGCAGCCTCCATGTAGAAACACAGTACAGAACACAGCATAGTAATTCAGTAATGGGGAAAAGATCAGCTGCAGGGAGACCATAGGCAATACTGGTGACCAATATAATAACAAAAAAATTGTGCTCAAAGGTATATTTGAACCCCTAGCGGTTAACACACCAATAGACCAATAAATATAGACTGGAAAAAAGTGCTGCGCTTATTGAGAAATCATAACCAATAAATAGGTGCAAATCTGTGCAATAAAGTCCAACAGTGAAATGAACAGTGCAAGAGTATAGCAGATCTTGTCACTCAGAAGACGCCACAGTGATCCTCTACCTCATGACCAATGGACCAAAACAATATGACCCTTTAAGAGTCAGTATGCACTTTGTATCACCGGGATCATCCGCGGAACCATAAAATATTCCACATACACAGATCTTTACTGGGTATCCAAGGCTCCAAAAAAAAAGCCAAGGATACTCCATAGTGTAAAACCATCTCTACAATGTATTATTGAAATTGTCAAAATAATCGAAAAGGTACAGAAAGTAAAGCTTTAAAATAATACAAGTTGGGCCTGGGAATTGAACCAGCCGCTTCCAAAGCGTGGGGTGATGTCCAGAACGTTTGCTCCACCCTACGTATTTCGTCATCTGTCTTCCATGGCGTCACATCTTGATGTCTTATGAGTGACCAAGATCTGCACGGGATTATTGCTTAAGTGCTCTACTCCTGCACTGTTCATGTCACTGTTGGATGGTGGAATTTATTGCACAGATTTAATACATGTCTCTAAACTTCTGCTTGCCTTGTTTAGGCTTGGCTTCCAGAGTTCAGTTCTTCCAGAGTTCAGTTCTTCCAGAGTTCAGTTCCTCCAGAGTTCAGTTCCTCCAGAGTTCAGTTCCTCCAGAGTTCAGTTCCTCCAGAGTTCAGTTCCTCCAGAGTTCAGTTCCTCCAGAGTTCAGTTCCTCCAGAGTTCAGTTCCTCCAGAGTTCAGTTCCTCCAAGTGTTGTAGATTGATACATTATGTTCACCCAGATTCCATGTACCATACTTCAGCCATTACTCTTCTTTGTCCTGTAGATTCAGTTCGTCCTGGTTTCCATCCACATTTCTCAGTATTACTTCATGTCCCACCTGTGACTACCAATTCCCCATCTTCATCCACCTCATCTGGATCTACGGCACGGTCTTCTTCATGCTCTTTTCCAACTTTTGGTACCAGGCCTACACCAAAGGAAAACGCCTTCCGAAATCCAGCCAAGCAGCATCCAACGGGGAAGTCCACCAAAACGGAAAGGCCAAGAACAGCAAAGCCAAGGAAAACTAGATCTAACCTAGATGGGCACGTGCGGTATCCCCAAAACTTGCGCACAAAACAGGTGCTAAGTGGGGAAGATGATGGCACGTGTTTTTCTTTCCAACTTTTTTTTTTTTTTTTTTTTTTTTCCTTTTTTTCGTAAAGCGAGAAGCCCAGCTGTTTGATGGCCAGTAAAAACTGCCAAACTGGTTTTTTCTACTACAACCTGGGGCTTACACCAGCCAAAAAAAAAAAAATCTAAGTGCCTAAAAAAAGACTGTATGACGCGAGTGTGTCCTGAATCCTATGTCCTTCCATGCAAGCTTTGGCATCCCACCCTCCGCAAACGTTCCACTCCTCGAAAGATTGTGTGTGTGCGCGCAAGAGGACCGCTCACTCCAGAAAAAAAAAATTCTGACCTCTATACTGTAATATCCGGGCCCTCAGCAAGCAACAAAAATCTTCGATTCCTTGGCATCACATTCCAGTATGAATCCTGTTCATCAGAAGAGCACGGGCCTGGCGAGGGAGGGTCAGCTCCTCTGACTCCAGTCCTCCTCCCCCCTCCGGTCCGCCTTGTTTTTGCACTGGCATCTTTTTTTTTTTTTTTTTTTTTTGCCAATTAAAGGGCAAGTTCTAAGCCCTGCTCAAAACAGGTGCAGGAATTTTGATATACTTGAAAACTGGGGTGCTTGTATGTTATCAAATTCCTAGGTCCATTTTTTTTTTTTTTTTTTCGCCTGAAGGAGAAAGCAGTATTGTGCGTTTGTTGTGTGTGTTTGAGGCTAAATTTAAGTTAAATTGCCTGATTTTGAAGGAGGAGGTGTTTTCTGCTCTTTCTCTCACCTGTGTCACAGTCGTCCCTTTACAATTTACTTCCTCTCGCCCACGTCCCGTCCATACTGTAGTCACTCCTGTCCCTTCTATGTGCCACTGATCTAGATCTATAACACTGTAATGTTCTCTTAATTCCTCTGCTGCTTCTGGGGACCTGAGAACCCCCCCCCCCCCCCCCACCCACCCACCCTACCCAGCAGCAGAAAGCAGTTCATGAAAATCACTTTGTATATTAAAAAAAAAAAAAAAAGAGAGAAATTCCACCCCCACCCCCACCTGCTATCGTACATGCCATGCCGGGCTGCCGGGATGAGAGAAGCTGTGTCGGATGGGGGATATTTTCGTAACTTATCTGCAAGTCTGCCAGATACTATTTATCAGTTTTTTTTGTGTAATACTATTAATAAAAAAAAAAAAAAAAAAAAAGAGAGAGACTTATCGCACATTGTTTAATTCCAAAGAAAACTCTTGTTGATAATACTGTATGTGAGATTATTAAATTGGACCTTCCACCTCCAGTGGCAAGGTCTGCTGATTCAGGTTACTCCCCCTTCCTAAAATGCTGAATAAAAGAACTGTGGGGGGGGGGAAATAGTTGGATCATATATTTGCTTTTCCCCAACCAAGGGAGGGTGACCTCATTCTCCTTCTCCAGGTCTTGGAGAATGTTGAGTGGCCCAGATCTCTCAAGAAGATGACTCTGCATTGTCCTACAGACTCTTCTTACAAGATCTGGCCTTCTCTGGGATCTTGTCGACCGATGGACAACTGTCACCCTCTGCACTACAGGAGTCTGGGTAAAGAATGATTTCGAACTACGTCACAATATCTCAAAATAATTGGGACTTTAATTATGCCTTCGATAGTAACACATATAAACATCCCCACAGTAACATTTTAATCACATAGTTTAGGCACAAAAATGTACGCCTTGAGAACCACAGTCTACGCGTTTTATGGGAATCCCCGCTTCCTCGTGGGAATCTGTTTCCTCGGGACTCCTCCAGTCTCAAATCTGTATCAGGAGAATTGTAAACAATAACAGTATACTTGAGACTGGAAGAGTCCTGAGGAAGAGTGGATTCCCACGACAAAGTGGGGATTCCTATGAAACGCGTAGACTGCGGTTCTCAAGATGTACATTTTTGTGCTTTGGTTATATGTGTTAAAAATTACTGTGGGGATTTTTTTATCAAACCTTTGTAATAAAATTGTAAAAACTTTTTCATTATTTAATAGCCATTGTATTTGCCACTATCGAAGGCGTAAGTAAAGTCACAATTTAGTTTGTTTTTTTTTTTTTTCTGACAAATTTTATGTAGGGATGATGCCTTCCCTTGTGCAGTTTTGTGTCATCCAGCATTCCACCTAGATATACGAATGGTATAATTTCAAACTATGTCACTCCCACGTACCTTTTTTTGCAGTATTTTAGGGAGGGGGCACCTTTCATAAGTAGACCATGCCACTGAGGTGACAGGTTCGCTTTATCAGAAGGCCGAGGTGACATCTGATTGGAAGGCACCACTTTGATGTAGAGCTCCGTGTGTCAATCAGGATTATAGCACTCCATCACCCAGTTCTTGTGTGCCCACCTTCAGTCTTGCAGGACAGTACTCTAAGCAGTTAGGATTGGAGTACCCCATCGCCAGTTCTGGTGTGACCACCTTCAGTCTTGCAGGACGGTACTGTAAGCAGTTAGGATTGGAGTACCCCATCTCTGATTCTGGTGTGACCACCTTCAGTCTTGAGGGACGGTACTCTAATCAGGATTGGAGTACCCCATCACTGGTTCCAGTGTGACCAGCTCCAGTCTTACCGGACAGTACTCTAATCAGTTAGGAATGGAGTACCCCATCTCCTGTTCTGTTCTGCTGTGCCCACCTCCAGTCTTGCAGGACGGTACTCTATTCAGGATTGGAGTACCCCCATCACTGGTTCCAGTGTGACCAGCTCCAGTCTTACCGGACAGTACTCTAATCAGTTAGGAATGGAGTACCCCATCTCCTGTTCTGCTGTGCCCACCTCCAGTCTTGCAGGACAGTACTCTAATCAGTTAGGATTGGAGTACTCCATCACCAGTTCTGGTGTGCCCACCTCCAGTCTTGAGGGACGGTACTCTAAGCAGTTAGGATTGGAGTACTCCATCACCAGTTCTGGTGTGACCACCTCCAGTCTTGAGGGACGGTACTCTAAGCAGTTAGGATTGGAGTACCCCATCTCTGATTCTGGTATGCCCACCTCCAGTCTTGAGGGACGGTACTCTAAGCAGTTAGGATTGGAGTACCCCATCTCTGATTCTGGTGTGACCACCTCCAGTCTTGAGGGACAGTACTCTAATCAGGATCGGAGTACCCCATCGCCGGTTCTGGTGTGCCCACCTCCAGTCTTGCAAGACGGTACTCTAATCAGTTAGGATTGGAGTACCCCATCACTGGTTCCGGTGTGACCACCTCCAGTCTTACCGGACAGTACTCTAATCAGTTAGGATTGGAGTACCCCATCTCTGATTCTGGTATGCCCACCTCCAGTCTTGAGGGACGGTACTCTAAGCAGTTAGGATTGGAGTACCCCATCTCTGATTCTGGTGTGACCACCTCCAGTCTTGAGGGACGGTACTCTAATCAGGATCGGAGTACCCCATCGCCGGTTCTGGTGTGCCCACCTCCAGTCTTGCAAGACGGTACTCTAATCAGTTAGGATTGGAGTACCCCATCACTGGTTCCGGTGTGACCACCTCCAGTCTTACCGGACAGTACTCTAATCAGTTAGGATTGGAGTACCCCATCTCTGATTCTGGTGTGACCACCTCCAGTCTTGAGGGACGGTACTCTAAGCAGTTAGGATCGGAGTACCCCATCTCTGATTCTGGTGTGACCACCTCCAGTCTTGAGGGACGGTACTCTAAGCAGTTAGGATTGCAGTACCCCCATCGCCAGTTCTGGTGTGCCCACCTCCAGTCTTGAGGGATGGTACTCTAAGCAGTTAGGATTGCAGTACCCCATCGCCAGTTCTGGTGTGCCCACCTCCAGTCTTAGGAGACGTCTGTTATAGGTTTTCAGACAGGAGGTGGGGTTGATGCAAAGTTGGTTTTTTTTTGGTGTTTTGATTGCAAGTTTTTGATTGTTTTTCCGCTGAGGTACTTCAATTTAACCTGACAAAAGAGACTTCAATGGGACTCTCAAAGTAACTTTTTGACAAGCCCATGGTTGGAGCTGATTTCCAGGCCCCATACCTGTTCAGCGGCAGTACAAATGACGTTTCTGCACTACGGTGATCGCTGCAGCCCAGAAGTTCAGGAATGGCAGCTTCCATCATAGGCGTCCATCTGTGCGATAGATTCCCAATTAAAGAGACTCGGCCTTGATGGGCATAGTGACAGAGAGGCCCTTAAAGGGTATTCCAACCGTAACCAATATAACCATTGTGAGTGGATGCTGGGAGCGAAATGGTTGACTTGCTCCTTGTAGCTTTTAGGGAGCTCCAGGCATCCTTGGTGCAGTTTTGCAGCGGAGTTTTACTCTTCCTTCTGTGGTGGTCTCCCTCTTCTATAATGGAAAATAAACTTTACATCCAACTGGGAGATGAGACCCCTTTATAGCAGCCACTGCAGGGAGCGACCGTTGGGAAGAACGGATGGGTGGAGCTGGGAACTCTGCTTTTGTTTTGCCGATGGAGTCCCTAAGTGGGCGATAGAGCCTCCTAGCATTGGCCAGAATTGAAATCGGCAGTTTCGTATTTCGATGTAAAACCAACACTGACCCGGCGAGGCATCCGTATTGTAAACCGGTTATCAGCTGTCAGAAACGGTGACAGCACTCGGACCGTTCTTTGTTTTCTAGCCTACAATGTTTGCTTTTTTGAGGGTTTCATCAGAACACAAGGGAAAAAAAAGTGGTATGCCTATAAAATATGACCTTAAATATTTATGTGAAATGTGCTTTTCTTTGCTGGCGGTGGTGCCGGTGACCCGGTTGTACCGTATAGCTACATGCACTGACCTTAATGCCAGGCAGCAGGGTGAGTGTACCCGGCCATGTACCCGCTCCGCTACGGGGGCGACAAATAAAGTTGTGTTTTTTTTCCTCAGATGTGTGGGTGCCGGCTTTTTATTTATAGCACCATAGTGGAATTGTTGAAGTGAATCTACTCCCACCCCACTTCCAAACCCTATGATCACTAATTGCCAACCTGAAGGTCTCCAAACTTTCTAAACAAAGGGCCAGTTTTCTGTTCTTAAGACTTTAGGGGGGAGCGAACTGTCTCTAGTGGGAGTGTGACATGCCGAAGCATAAAAGATGTCTCAGGCTTGTAATCATTGGGAGTTGAAAAAAAAAAAAAAAAAATGCATAACTCCTGTGATCAGTAGGAGGAGGAACAGTGCCCCATCGTTGGTGTCAATGGGAGGAACAGTGCCCCATCGTTGGTGTCAGTGGGAGGAATAGTGCCCCATCATTGGTGTCAGTGGGAGGAATAGTGCCCCATCATTGGTATCAGGGGGGAGAGTAGTGCCCCATCATTGGTGTCAGTGGGAGGAACAGTGCCCCACTGTTGGTGTCAATGGGAGGAATAGTGCCCCATCATTGGTATCAGTGGGAGGAATAGTGCCCCATCATTGGTGTCAGTGGGAGGAATAGTGCCCCATCATTGGTATCAGGGGGGAGAGTAGTGCCCCATCATTGGTGTCAGTGGGAGGAATAGTGCCTCATCATTGGTGGTCAGTGGGAGGGATAGTGCCCCATCATTTTAGTCAGTGGGAGGAATAGTGCCCCATCATTTTAGTCAGTGGGAGGAATAGTGCCCCATCATTGGTGTCAGTGGGAGGAATAGTGCCCCATCATTGGTGTCAGTGGGAGGAATAGTGCCCCATCATTGGTGTCAGTGGGAGGAATAGTGCCCCATCATTGGTGTCAGCGGGAGGAATAGTGCCCCATCATTGGTGTCAGCGGGAGGAATAGTGCCCCATCACTGGTGTCAGCGGGGGGAATAGTGCCCCATCACTGGTGTCAGCGGGGGGAATAGTGCCCCATCACTGGTGTCAGCGGGAGGAATAGTGCCCCATCAAAACATACAATTAAATCTCAAAGTCCTTTTGCAAAAGGGACAGTATCATCTCCCATATTGTGCACATACTGTATGCTCTCCATAAAGTTCATGCAGTTCACACTCCATGCTCCCTGCCCCCTGGCAGTAGTCCCACATGCTCACCGACTCCTGTGGGCTCTTACAATTAAACAAGAGTGTAGCTCGCTTGGGTGGAACCAATCCTGGTTTTGCTGGATCTTGTACTTCTCTGTCTGGTCCCCGTTGTTATCATATGTATAGAGGAAGGTAGCCAAACAGTGTAATTCCATTTATTAAAACCAGAGTAAAAAATGTATATTGCACTCACATTCGACAAAAACGGAAATAAAGCTCCGATCCAGAAAGTAACGGACCGTCGTGCGCTCCACTGGCCGGATATGACGTCACCGCGGTTCGCAGCCGACGTTCTGGGCATCCTCAGAGGTCACATAGGGCTTAGAATGGGGGAGGGAGTAGGCTTCAACTTGGAATTTGACTAGACCAGATAGAGTGAATGCAGGGTCCGGGGAGAGCGGGTATAGCGAGTGCGGGGTCCGGGGAGAGCGGGTATAGCGAGTGCGGGGTCCGGGGAGAGCGGGTATAGCGAGTGCGGGGTCCGGGGAGAGCGGGTATAGCGAGTGCGGGGTCTGGGGAGAGCGGGTATAGCGAGTGCGGGCTCCCGGGAGAGCGGGTATAGCGAGGGCGGGCTCCCGGGAGAGCGGATATAGCGAGTGCGGGGTTTGGGTTTAGTAAATTATTCAGTGGTCTCCAAACTGTGGCCCGAGGGCTGGATGTGGCCCTTTGCTACCCTTTATCCTGCCCTTGGGTCACTATTCCTCTGAGATGAACAATGGAGCAGCACTTCTTCCATTGAAACCAATGATGGTGTACAATTCTTCCCACTAATACCAATGGTGGGGCACTACTCCTCCTACTGACCAACATCCCTGAGGCCATGTTTATTCTCACAGGTCTCGCATCCTCAGAGGTCACATAGGGCTTAGAATGGGGGAGGGAGTAGGCTTCAACTTGGAATTTGACTAGACCAGATATAGTGAATGCGGGGTCCGGGGAGACCAGATAGAGTGAATGTGGGCTCCGGGGAGAGCGGATATAGCGAGTGCGGGCTCTGGGGGGAGAGCGGATATAGCGAGTGCGGGCTCCGGGGAGAGCGGATATAGCGAGTGCGGGCTCCGGGGAGAGCGGATATAGCGAGTGCGGGCTCCGGGGAGAGCGGATATAGCGAGTGCGGGCTCCGGGGAGAGCGGATATAGCGAGTGCGGGCTCCGGGGAGAGCGGATATAGCGAGTGCGGGGTCCGGAGAGAGCGGATATAGCGAGTGCGGGCTCCGGGGAGAGCGGATATTATAGCGAGTGCGGGCTCCGGGGAGAGCGGATATAGCGAGTGTGGGCTCCGGGGAGAGCGGATATAGTGAATGCGAGGTTTGGGTTTAGTAAATTATTCAGTGGTCTCCAAACTGTGGCCCGAGGGCTGGATGTGGCCCTTTCCTACCCTTTATCCTCTTTTCCTCTGAGATGAACAATGGAGCAGCACTTCTTCCCATGAAACCAATGATGGTGTACTATTCTTCCCACTAATACCAATGGTGGGGCACTACTCCTCCTGACCAACATCCCTGAGGCCATGTTTTATTCTCACTGATGCTGGGGACAGGACATTCTCTATCCTCACTGGCCCTCCTAAAGTCTGAGGGACTGTATACTGGCCCTTTGTTTGAAACGTTTGGAGACCCCTGCAATAAGGTGTCATGCCAAATTAATATCTATTTAGTTTGAACATTTTATATAAAGATATTTTCAAGATTTGCAAAAAATAAAAGTTGTTTAAAGACTTGAACCAGCACACACGTTCACGTACAATCTATGCACAGAATGTGTCCCCGATACTCGCTGATCAGCAACATTTACAGAGAAGTTTAACTCATTAACAGCTGATTTTCACATTGAGATCTCTAAGTGTTTCTCAGATATTCAATCTGCATTATCAGGAGTCATTGGAGACGTGTAGGAGTAAAGTATAAAACCACCTAATAATGTGTCAGAGGTCATTTCATGAAGAAGGAGATTGCAGGGAATTGAGCTGAAAATAATGGTAAGTTAGGGCAGCAAGAAGATGATCCTGTGGAGACAAAGCAGCCTTATTACCCCAGGGGGACCTCAAATAATTTCCAGGTGTCAAGGAACTCTGCTAAAATGTAATTCATAGGGGTCAAGGGGAAGATTGTCTCTTGCAGTGGCGGTCAGTCAGTGGAAAGAATGCTCCTTACATTGGGGGTCAGTGGAAAGAATGCTCCTTACATTGGAGGTCAGTGGAAAGAATGTCCCTTACATTGGGGGTCGGTGGGAAGAATGTCCCTTACATTGGGGGTCGGTGGGAAGAATGTCCCTTACATTGGGGGTCGGTGGGAAGAATGTCCCTTACATTGGTGGTCAGTGGGAGGAATGTCCCTTACATTGGTGGTCAGTGGGAAGAATGTCCCTTACATTGGGGGTCAGTGGGAAGAATGTCCCTTACATTGGTGATCGGTGGGAAGAATGTCCCTTACATTGGTGGTCGGGTGGGAAGAATGTCCCTTACATTGGGGGTCGGTGGGAAGAATGTCCCTTACATTGGGGGTCGGTGGGAAGAATGTCCCTTACATTGGGGGTCGGTGGGAAGAATGCCCCTTACATTGGGGGGTCGGTGGGAAGAACGCCCCTTACATTGGGGTTCAGAGGGAAGAACGTCCCTTACATTGGTGATCAGTGGGAAGAATGTCCTTTACATTGGGGGTCGGTGGGAAGAATGTCCCTTACATTGGGGGTCGGTGGGAAGAACGTCCCTTACATTGGTGGTCGGTGGGAAGAACGTCCCTTACATTGGTGGTCGGTGGGAAGAACGTCCCTTACATTGGTGGTCGGTGGGAAGAACGCCCCTTACATTGGGGTTCAGAGGGAAGAACGTCCCTTACATTGGTGATCAGTGGGAAGAACGTCCTTTACATTGGGGGTCAGTGGGAAGAATGTCCCTTACATTGGGGGTCAGTGGGAAGAATGCCCCTTACATTGGTGATCAGTGGGAAGAACGTCCTTTACATTGGGGGTCAGTGGGAAGAATGTCCCTTACATTGGTGATTCATTCTCTCTCTCATATTCTCTCTCTCTCTCATATTTTCTTTCTCCCTCCCTCCCCCTCCCCTCCCCTCCCGATTACTACACTCAGGAAAAGTCTGCCATCTAGTGGCTGTGATGAAGTGCTACACAGGAAAGTGTGACATCTAGTGGCTGTGAGGAGTACTACACTTAGGAAAAATCTGACAAGTTTAGGGAGAGTGTTCTGATCCATTTGCAAAGGACCATGGTCACCCTAATTTGCATCTCTCTTTTATTTTTATCTAGCACCAATTAGGTTCGCTCTCTCATTTTTAGTTCGTACAAACTAGGATACTTTTTTTGGTCTCATCTCGTCTCGCGTACAAACTAGTATACTTTTTTTGGTCTCGTCTCGCGTACAAACTAGGATACTTTTTTTTTGGTCTCATCTCGTCTCGCGTACAAACTAGGATACTTTGTGACCACACTGTTTCAACTTAGGGAGAGCAATGTATCTAATTAGCATATTTGCTCACTCCCTCTCCCCCCTTTCCTTTTTTTGTTGCACAATATCGCAAAGGACCATGGTTAAACTAATTTTAATACTTTTCTGTTTGGCTCAGCCCGCAAACAGTGTGGAATTACTCAAATGTATGCAAATTTGCACTCAGGAAAAGTGGTTATGAGGAGTACTACACTCAGGAAAGTCTGCCATTTATTGGCTGTGAGGAGTACTACACTCAGGAAAAGTCCGACATCTACTTTTATTGCAGAAGCATCAAAAACAACATGTTACGTGTAATCGGGGTACATCTCACCCTGTACTGCGACGCAGCGCACCACATAGCAATACAGTTCCAAACATACGATAAATACATTCAGGCAAATAAATACATTCACTCAGCGGTATGATGCCTGACGTGATGTGCACAGAGGATGAATCCCCCGGATCACCACGTCATGCATGACGCCGCTTACCCCAAAAAACTGTAGTAGCATCCTAATACGATATACATTTCCTAGTCACTATGTCATGCACGAAAGCGATAACTGAAAAAACACTATCAACAATAGGCATCGGGTGTGTGGGGGGGGGGGAAGGGGGAAGGGGGAAACACAGGCCCGAAGCTTTATTGAAGGGACAAAGACACGCAGGGGGGGGAGTAGGGGGAAGGGGGAAATCTTCAGACGTCCTCTTCCTCCTTAAAGTCCAACAAGGAATAGTCTCTGAGCAGACTGAGGATCAGTCTGCGGCAGTCCTCAATGGACATCCTCTCCCGCTGGTGGATGAGGCGCTTTTTCTGGCGCACCATAAAGCGTCCTTAAAACAGCACAGCACCCGCCAGGCGCCGACATCTACTGGCTACAATGAAGTGCTAGACTCAGGAAAGTGTGACATCCAGTGGCTGTGAGGAGTACCGCATTCAGGAAAATGCTCACATCCGGTACATTAGGGAGAGTGTTCTGATCCAATTGCAAAGGACCATAGTCACACCAATGTGCATCTCTCTCTTTTATTTTTAGCTAGCACCAATTAGGATACTTCTTGACCAGATTGAATGATTGATTGAGTGCTCAATCATTTGCGTTCTCTCCCGTTCTCTCTCTCTCTCGCTCTCCCCCCCCCCCCCCCCCTCCCCCCCCCCCCCCCCCCCTCAACCCCAACAACACACATAGAGAACCCCAACATACATACTATATATACTGTCTCTGCACATACAGAACCCCAACACATACCGTATATACTGTGTCTGCACATACAGAACCCCAACACATACCGTATATACTGTCTGCACATAGAGAACCCCAACATATGCCGTATATACTGTCTCTGCACATGTCCACATACTCCCCGACACGTGTCTACATACCCCTTCTCCCCGACACATGTCCATGTACCCTTTCTCCCCGATACGTGTCCACGTACCCTTTCTGCACATATAGAACCCCAACACATACCGTATATACTGTCTGCACATAGAGAACCCCAACACATGCCGTATATACTGTCTGCACATATAGAACCCCAACACATGCCGTATATACTGTCTGCACATATAGAACCCCAACAGATGCTGTATATACTGTGTCTGCACATATAGAACCCCAACACATACCGTATATAATGTCTGCACATATAGAACCCCAACATATGCCGTATATACTGTCTCTGCACATGTCCACATACTCCCCGACACGTGTCTACATACCCCTTCTCCCCGACACGTGTCCACGTACCCTTTCTCCCCGACACGTGTCCACGTGCCCTTTCTCCCCGACACGTGTGCACGTGCCCTTGCTCCCCGACACGTGTCCACGTGCCCTTGCTCCCCGAGACGTGTCCACGTGCCCTTGCTCCCCGAGACGTGTCCACGTGCCCTTGCTCCCCGACACGTGTCCACGTGCCCTTGCTCCCCGACACGTGTCCACGTGCCCTTTCTCCCCGACACGTGTCCACGTGCCCTTTCTCCCCGACACGTGTCCACGTGCCCTTTCTCCCCGACACGTGTCCACGTACCCTTTCTCCCCAACACGTGTCCACATACCCTTTCTCCCCGACACGTGTCCACATACCCTGGCAGGCTTCTCACCGGCCTTTAGAAATAGTCAGCATGTGAAATGATCAGCACTGGACAGAACATTTCGGAAGATTTTTATATTTTAATAAAACACAAATAAACTGATAACAAGGCGGATGACTTCCAGCGATACTCCGCACACGGAAGGTCCGGCCTTTCCTTGGCTCTGCTGAGTTTGTGTTGTCCAGGTGTCAGTCATCCGACATCCGTCCCAGTGATGGTCCACGTTCAGTGTCGGGACTCTTCCTTTACTACACAAGGAAATCGAATTGTACATGAACACGGCACGTCCTACCGGGGCTGGAATATGGGGGGCGGGACTTACCTCTGGGGACGTTCACTTGGTTGGAGATTAGGATTTCAATGTGAACTCTGTCCAGCTTCATGTACAATATCTCAGCATTCTCCTGCAGAGAAACAACAGGCGTGGTCAGGTAATGTGACATAAACATGGGGGAATGAGGCCGACATCAGACGTCACGGCGCTCCCAATCACAGCTTAGAGACCCCAAAACAAAGAGCGCAGCCAACCCAGAGGGGTTAGAATAATCACGTGTACAGGATCAGTCCATGCAAACATTTTATTTTGGTTACAGATGGAGTCTGATGGGTTGGGTTCCCCATAGATGACTTATCTCTTGAGGTTCTCAGCAGGTTCACATTAACATCTGACTCCGGCTACAACAGGGGGTGTTCCAGGTTCTCTCTTTGTATTCTTCTTTTATATTCTGAAAAACAACACTCACAGGCCACTTTATTACAGTGGGGATGGAAAGTTTGGGCACCCCAGCTAAAAATTTGTATTAATGTGCATAAAAAAGCCAAGGAAAGATGGAAAAATCTCCAAAAGGCATCAAATTACAGATTAGACATTCTTATAATACAGTATGTCAACAAAAGTTAGATTTTATTTCCATCATTTACACTTTCAAAATAACAGAAAACAAAAAAATGGAGTCTGCAAAAGTTTGGGCCCCCTGCAGAATTTATAGCATGCACTGCCCCCTTTGCCAAGCTGAGACCTGCCAGTGTCATGGATTGTTCTCAATCATCGTCTGGGAAGACCAGGTGATGTCAATCTCAAAGGTTTTAAATGCCCCCGACTCATCTGACCTTGCCCCAACAATCAGCACCATGGGTTCTTCTAAGCAGTTGTCTAGAAAACTGAAACTGAAAATAGTTAACGCTCACAAAGCTGGAGAAGGCTATAAGAAGATAGCAAAGCATTTTCAGATGTCAATATCCTCTGTTCGGAATGTAATTAAGAAATGGCAGTCATCAGGAACAGTGGAAGTTAAAGCAAGATCTGGAAGACCAAGAAAAATATCAGACAGAACAGCTCGCAGGATTGTGAGAAAAACAATTCAAAACCCACATTTGACTGCACGATCCCTCCAGAAAGATCTGGCAGACACTGGAGTTGTGGTCACTATTCCACTATAAAGAGATACTTGTACAAATATGGTCTTCATGGAAGAGTCATCAGAAGAAAACCTCTTCTACGTCCTCACCACAAAAATCATTGTTTGAACTTTGCAAATGAACATACAGACAAGCCTGATGCATTTTGGAAACAAGTTCTGTGGACCGATGAAGTTAAAATGGAACTTTTTGGCCGGAATGAGCAAAGGTACGTTTGGAGAAGAAGGGGCACAGAATTGAATGAAAAGAACCTCTGTCCAACTGTGAAGCATGGGGTTGGATCAATCATGCTTTGGGGTTGTGTTGCAGCCAGTGGCACAGGGAACATTTCATGAGTAGAAGGAAAAATGGATTCAATAAAATTTCAGCAAATTTTGGATGGTAACTTGATGCCATCTGTGAAAAAGCTGAAGTTAAAGAGAGGATGGCTTCTACAAATGGATAATGATCCTAAGCACACCTCGAAATCCACGGGGGATTACCTCAAGAGGCGTAAACTGAAGGTTTTGCCATGGCCTTCACAATCTCCTGACCTCAACATCATTGAAAATCTATGGATAGACCTTAAAAGAGCCGTGCGTGACAGACAGCCCAGAAATCTCAAAGAACTGGAAGACTTTTGTAAGGAAGAATGGGCAAAGATACCTCAAACAAGAATTGAAAGACTCTTGGCTGGCTACAAAAAGTGTTTACAAGCTGTGATACTTGCCAAAGGGGGCAGTACAAGATATTAACTCTGCAGGGGGCCCAAACTTTTGCAGACGCCATTTTTTTGTTTTCTGTTATTTTGAAAGTGTAAATGATGGAAATAAAATCTAACTTTTGTTGACATATTATAAAGAATGTCTAATCTGTAATTTGATGCCTTTTGGAGATTTTTCCATCTTTCCTTGGCTTCTGTATGCACATTAATACAAATTTTTAGCTGGGGTGCCCAAACTTTCGATCCCCACTGTAGGTCCACCTGTTCAATTGCTTAGTAACACAAATTGCTGGTCAGCCAATCATACGGCAGCAACTCAATGCATTTAGGCATCTAGACGTGGTGAAGACTTGATAAAGTTCAAACTGAGCATCAGAATGGGGAAGAAAGGGGATTGAAGTGACTTTAAACGCAGCTTGGTTGTTGCAGCCAAACAGGCTGGTCTGAGTATTTAAAAAAATGCTGATCTACTGGGATTTTCACACACAACCATCTCTAGGGTTCACAGAGAATGGTCTGAAAAAGAAAATATCTGGCAGTTGTGTGGATGAAAATGCCTTGTTGATGTCAGAGGAGAATGGGCAGACTGGTTGGAGATGATAGAAAGGCAACAGTAACTCAGATAACCACTCGTTACACCCAAGGTATGCAGAATACCATCTCTGAACCACACCACGTCCAACCTTGAAGCAGATGGGCTACAGCAGCAGACGACCACACAATGGGCCACTCCTGTTAGCTAAGAACAGGAAACAGAGGCTACAATTCGCACAGGATCACCAAAATTGGACAACAGAAGATTGGAAAAACATTGCCTGGTCTGATGAGTCTGGATGTCAGCTGCGACATTCAGATAGTAGGGTCAGAATTTGGTACAAACAACATGAACGCATGGATCCATCCTGCCTTGTATTAAATGTTCAGGCTGGTGGTGGTGGTGTCATGGTGTGGTGGATCCATTCTGCCTTGTATCAACGGTTCAGGCTGGTGGTGGTGATGTCATGGTGTGGTGGATCCATCCTGCCTTGTATCAATGGTTCAGGCTGGTGGTGGTGGTGTCAGGGTGTGGTGTGGTGGATCCATCCTGCCTTGTATCAACGGTTCAGGCTGGTGGTGGTGGTGTCATGGTGTGGTGGATCCATCCTGCCTTGTATCAATGGTTCAGGCTGGTGGTGGTGGTGTCATGGTGTGGTGGATCCATTCTGCCTTGTATCAACGGTTCAGGCTGGTGGTGGTGATGTCATGGTGTGGTGGATCCATCCTGCCTTGTATCAATGGTTCAGGCTGGTGGTGGTGGTGTCAGGGTGTGGTGTGGTGGATCCATCCTGCCTTGTATCAACGGTTCAGGCTGGTGGTGGTGGTGTCATGGTGTGGTGGATCCATCCTGCCTTGTATCAATGGTTCAGGCTGGTGGTGGTGGTGTCATGCTATAGTGGATCCATTCTGCCTTGTATCAACGGTTCAGGCTGGTGGTGGTGGTGTCATGCTATGGTGGATCCATCCTGCCTTGTATCAATGGTTCAGGCTGGTGGTGGTGGTGTCATGCTGTGGTGGATCCCATTCTGCCTTGTATCAACGGTTCAGGCTGGTGGTGGTGGTGTCATGGTGTGGTGGATCCATCCTGCCTTGTATCAACGGTTCAGGCTGGTGGTGGTGGTGTCATGGTGTGGTGGACACATCCTGCCTTGTATCAATGGTGCAGGCTGGTGGTGGTGTCATGGTGTGGTGGATCCATCCTGCCTTGTATCAATGGTTCAGGCTGGTGGTGGTGTCATGGTGTGGTGGATCCATCCTGCCTTGTATGAATGGTTCAGGCTGGTGGTGGTGGGGTCATGGTGTGGTGGATCCATCCTGCCTTGTATCAATGGTTCAGGCTGGTGGTGGTGGGGTCATGGTGTGGTGGATCCATCCTGCCTTGTGTCAATGGTTCAGGCAGGTGGTGTCATGGTGTGGGGGGGATTTTCTTGGCAAACTTTGGACTCCTTGGTATCAATTGAGCATCGTTTAAATACCACAGGCTACCAGAGGGTCATTGCTGACCATGTCCATTCCTTTATGACTCCAGTCTCCCCATCTTCTGATGGCTCCTTCCAGCAGGATAATGCACCATGTCACAAAGCTCAAATCATCTCCAACTGGTTTCTGGAACATGACAATGAGGTCACTGGACTCCAATGGCCTCCACAGTCACCAGATCTCCATCCAATAGAGCACCCTTTGAGATGTGGAGGAACGGGAGTTTCCCGTCATGGATGTGCAGCTGACAAATCTGTAGCAACTGCGTCAATATGGACCAAAATCTCTGAGGAATGTTTCCAACATCTTGTTGAATCTGTGCCACGAAGAATGAAGGTAAACGGGGGTGGGGGGGGGGGGGGGGGGGGGGGTGGGGGGGGGGGGGGGGGGGTAGGTTTTAAAAAAGGGGGGTCCAACCCAGGACTAGCAAGGTGGACCTCAAAGTGCCAGGTAGTGATGAGCTTAATGTTTGACTTGCATAGACACCATGCATGAAGTTGCACAGATGTCTTCCAAGTTGCACCTGAAGTCGGACTGACATCTGACATCAAGCGAAGTCGCACGATTTAAAAGTCAGATTTGGTGTTCCCGGGGACTAATTGACTCCCTTCCTGATGAAAACTCTGGCCATTATCTACAAAAGTGTCTGAAACAGGCACTGGGTTATCTTTGGGGACCAATCAGATTCTTCCTCCCATTCTGCCAGTATAGAATACAGCTGGAACCTGATTGGCTCTGAGGGGTAACACAGAAAGTGGAAATAGAAACAACACCTCCTGCGCTCAGGGACCCAGATCAAGGGTGGGCGGGTGGATGGACCACTTATGGAAGTTCGTCCACCAATGGATCAAAGGTTGTGCAGCTCTTAACAAGGCTGGGGAAGCCCGACCAGTACTGCAAAGTGAAACAAAAAGAAAGCGCACCGACCTTGCGTATTACCTCAAAACTTGATTTTATTAAAATGAGATATTGTGACGGGAGTCACTTTGGGTGGGGGGGCCCATGGAACACAGTTCACTTTAGAGAGGTGGGGAGACCCCTGTCTCAGCTCCCCATATCCCTATTATGTGTAAGTCACCCTGTGCCTGTTAGAGGTGCAGGGTGATATGTCCTAATATTGGGGTGGGGAGTTATTCATTGTTTATTGCCCTGTGGTTGCATCCCATTGTTCTATTGTGGGTCTTGCTTGGGAGCAAACTATTATGGGATGTATGTGTTTGTGTACTGGCTTGGTGGGAGGTGTTTCCAGCAGCCCTTCCCCCTGATGGGACTGCCTGCTGATGTGTTTCTTGTTACTGGGTGTGTGTTGCCCCGCCCTGTGTATATATATCTTGTATCTATGTTAAAATAAAGCAGTCTATTTCCTGGTTTTCGTTCAAGAACGGTGTCCGTGGATCTGTGTTCGGACAGGGAAGCGGGAGTCTAACAGAAATACCCTAGTGCAGTCGGGGTCCGGTTCCGTTACAGATATATACTCACAAACAAAGCAGTAAAAAAAGCATGCAAGATCCTCAAAGGAGCTCTGAAGAAGAAGGGACCCCCTTCGAAACGACGGAACTTTTGAGAGTCTCCCCCCTTGATGTGACTCGCACCGGTTTTTGCACTTTAGTGCTCCTTTGAGGATCTTGCACGCTTGTTTTACTGCTTTGTGAGTATATATCTCATTTGAATAAAATCAAGTTTCGTATTGCGGTAATGCACAAGGTTGGTGCGCTTTTTTTTTTGTTTCAACACAGAAAGTGTAGTTCTAATGCAGGCCATACACGATTCGAATACCGAATGATTTTTGTACGAAAATCGGACCTAAGAATAATTTTCGCTCTGTAAGTGGGGCAATGGCATCGGCCGATTTCACTGTTCAACAGGTAAAAAGTTTTGGGCATAAAATTAGCTAATCTTACATAATTTTGGGGTGCTGAAAACGAAAATGACCCTAAAAAATGTTGATTGGCTCTAGTTTCCATGATATATTCACCCATCTAATGACGTAAACCATTCAAAATTATGATGCAACTTCAGCTGCATATTGCGCAATTGATACTGGTGACCAATAGAAAATGTCATGTATACTGAGATGATGCAATATTAGCCTTTAATTGCATCACTTCACTGCATAAAAGCTGCAGTATCTGTAGCTGATTGTAGTTCGTCTTTACATTTCGTTTTATGCTTATATAGGCTACTCAGTAATGCCTCGAACTTGTGTGAATAAAGCAGATAATTTCTGCTATATCTGCGGTGAAATAACTTTTATCTCACAAAAAAGGAGGATAACAGGAATGATTAAGAAAGCCTACAACTTGTATTTTGGCTGCAAGATAGGAGACCAGGACAAGAGCTGGGCACCACATATATGCTGCAATTCTTGTGGGACGGCACTGGAGCAATGGTTGAATGGAAAAAAGGCATCTATGCCTTTCGCTGTGCCAATGATTTGGAGAGAGCCAACAGATCATGTCAGTAATTGTTACTTTTGTATGGTGCCTCCAATTGTAAAAGGGCTAAATAAGAAGAAAAAGTTATCTGTGCACTATCCAAATATTCCATCGGCAATACGTTCAGTTCCTCATGGAGAGGGGCTACCAATTCCTAAAGCACCAGAATCCTTCGTGGTTGAGTCAAGTGAGGAAGAACCTGAAGCATGTAGTCACGTGCAGTTGTAAGAGATAGCCCTTTCCTCGAATACAAGAGAAAAGCCAAGAGAAGCAAAACCGACACAAACTGAAGACAAAACTAGTGAGAATCCTAAGTATTAAAATGATTCAACTTAGCTTATGGCTATAATTTTTCTTGGTAATCCTATGCAATATATTCTGCCATTTAGGCTTTGTTATGTAGTCATATCACTTGCTGTATATTTGTGGAAAGACATCTATCTATATAATTATTGTGCATTATGTAGTCATTACGCCTATAGTAGAAAACTTTCCGTTTACAGAAAAACTAGAGCCAATTGACAAATTTCATTTTTATATTTGAACTCAGAATGTGAAATTCATTAAGAAATGGATCCTTTTGTTTCCAAAACTGGCAAAAAATAAAAATTTGTTGAACAGTGTTTTCATGGTTCCTCCCCATTTCGTTTATCAGGCATGCTGGAAAATTAGTGAAAAACAACCGACTTTTGAAATCGTTGGAGGCACCATTGGATTACAGTACGATTTTCGGATGAAAAATCGTTCTGTATGGCCTGCATTAGGCTCTGCTATCAATGAGTCCCATTGTGTCTGGCGGCCATGTGACTGGGAACAATGGCAAAGCCTTCCCAAGGAAATCCCCATGACGGATATAATCTTACCATCAGCATGCGGAATAGTTTCTCCCCGATTGCTGTCCGCACATCTTCCTCCACCGTAGGAAACGACGACACAAAATACTGCAATGAGGGGAGGAGACATCTGTCAGCTCGCATACACCCCATCCAATCAGCACACAAGAGGAAATCCCACAACAACCAATAGGAGCTGCCTCAATGTCTATAATAATTTACTGAAGGGTTATGCCGGCCATAGACGGGTCTAAAATCGGCCGATTTTTCAGTCGAAAAAAAAAAAAAATCGGCCGATTTTCGCACTGTTAGTGGGTTAATTGGTTGGCCGTTTTTTGGGCTTTTTGCAAATTTTTTTTGTCGGGCATGTTGGAAAATTTGCGGCCGATTTTGACGATCGGTCCGATTTTCCCAGCAATGATGGGCAAATCGGACGATCGTTTTACTGATAAAAAATCTGCACATGAGCCGTGACCTGCAAGAAGAAGAAAAAGAGGAAGAAGAAGAATAAAAATAATAAGAAGAATTCCAGTCCGCTATTATATTTTATATGAAAAGTCTTGCAACAATGTATCCATTTGGATCCAAATAAAAACATCTGTATCCGAAATGGATACAAATGGATACATTGTTGCAACCGCAAGACTTTCAAGTAAAATATAATAGCGGACTGGAATTCTTCTTCTTATTATTATTATGTATTGCTCCCGTCTCTGCAAGGGACAGAAGTAATTATTGGGGTAAAATGCCGGCCATAGACAGGATAAAAATTGGCCGATTTTTTTACCGTTGGTGGTAATGTAGGTCGATGGAACGTCCGATTTTTCGTTTTTTTTTTTTTTTTTAAATGGCCGATTTTCGACCTATCTATGGCCTGCATTAGACTCTCTGTCAGGTATTAAATGCCGTCTGTATTCCCCCTGGGGGGATTGAGCCTTCCTATTCCTAAAATTCACATTTTTGAGTTGCCGCCGGACTATGAGTCGGACACAATAAAACACATTTTTCTGAGCTGCCTTACGTCTATGCACGGGTGTCAAACTGGCGGCCCTCCAGCTGTTGCCAAACTACAAGTCCCATGAGGCATTGCAAGATTGCCAGTTACAAGCATGACTCCCAGAGGCAGAGGCATGATGGGACTTGTAGTTTGGCAACAGCTGAAGGGCCGTGAGTTTGATACCCCTGGGCTAGAGTAACAGGAGATATTTTTTGGCAGGTTTTTAGTAAATAAAACTTACATATGTGACCAACAGAATTCTCTTACCATCCAGAGTCCTCACCCAGTGACCACTGTATGTATGACCACTAACCACCTGTTACCTTTATACATATATGGCCACTTACCGTCATTAACCTATATACAGTATACGACCAATATCTAGGCACTATAGGACTGGTCTGCTCTGCAGATCATCGCCCCCCAGCACCGGCCACCTCTTCCAATCCCAGTGCCAATGGTCATTGGGTCAGACAGAGATAGGACGAGTCCCTCCGGCGGGGTCAGACAGAGATAGCACGAGTCCCTCCGGCGGGGTCAGACAGAGATAGGACGAGTCCCTCCAGCGGGGTCAGACAGAGATAGGACGAGTCCCTCCAGCGGGGTCAGACAGAGATAAGACGAGTCCCTCCTGTGGGGTCAGACAGAGATAGGATGAGTCCCTCCAGCGGGGTCAGACAGAGATAGGACGAGTCCCTCCTGTGGGGTCAGACAGAGATAGGACGAGTCCCTCCAGCGGGGTCAGACAGAGATAGGACGAGTCCCTCCAGCGGGGTCAGACAGAGATAGGACGAGTCCCTCCAGCGGGGTCAGACAGAGATAAGACGAGTCCCTCCTGTGGGGTCAGACAGAGATAGGACGAGTCCCTCCTGTGGGGTCAGACAGAGATAGGATGAGTCCCTCCAGCGGGGTCAGACAGAGATAGGACGAGTCCCTCCAGCGGGGTCAGAGATAGGACGAGTCCCTCCAGCGGGGTCAGACAGAGATAGGACGAGTCCCTCCAGCGGGGTCAGAGATAGGACGAGTCCCTCCAGCGGGGTCAGACAGAGATAGGACGAGTCCCTCCAGCGGGGTCAGAGATAGGACGAGTCCCTCCAGCGGGGTCAGACAGAGATAGGATGAGTCCCTCCAGCGGGGTCAGACAGAGATAGGATGAGTCCCTCCAGCGGAGTCAGACAGAGATAGGACGAGTCCCTCCAGCGGGGTCAGACAGAGATAGGACGGGTCCCTCCAGCGGGGTCAGACAGAGATAGGATGAGTCCCTCCTGCGGGGTCAGACAGAGATAGGACGAGTCCCTCCAGTGGGGTCAGACAGAGATAGGACGAGTCCCTCCTGCGGGGTCAGACAGAGATAGGACGAGTCCCTCCTGCGGGGTCAGACAGAGATAGGACGAGTCCCCTCCTGCGGGGTCAGACAGAGATAGGACGAGTCCCTCCTGCGGGGTCAGACAGAGATAGGACGAGTCCCTCCTGCGGGGTCAGACAGAGATAGGACGAGTCCCTCCTGCGGGGTCAGACAGAGATAGGACGAGTCCCTCCTGCGGGGTCAGACAGAGATAGGACGAGTCCCTCCAGCGGGGTCAGACAGAGACAGGACGAGTCCCTCCAGCGGGGTCAGACATCAATCAAAACCTCACAGAGGTCCCAACCCTTCCACAGTATATTAAATGCTAAAAAAAAACCCATTATGTCAAAGAGATTTGCATTGTAACAGCCGTTCCTATTTATGTTCTGAATCTCACCACCCCCCCCCCCCCCCCGTGAACCCACCCCAACACACACGCCCCCCCTCCCTATACACTGTGAGAGTGGCCCCTCACCTCCAAGGCCAGGCTGGCCTGTCTCTGGCTGTCTGTGTGCTCCGTGTTCCCCATGGCGTACAGCAGGTGATGGACGACTCTCAGCTGGATCAGATCCTCGCACAGCTGGGGGGACTCCCGTGCCAACATCCTGCAACCATCCAATCGGATTACTCTTCACCTGTGTCTGCGGGGGCGGGGACAGTGAGTGTAGAACAGCAGGGGAAGGACAACAGGAGGGAAGACATCAGGAGAACAGCTAAAGGGAGGACAGCACAGGGGGAAGTGGGGGCAACAGTAGGTAGGACAGAAGGGAGGTGGGGACAATAGGAGGGAGGGGGTGTGTATGTGGGGGGGAGGGGGCAAAACAACAGCGGGGGGGGGGTGGCCAAAAGGCTGAAAACTATGCAGAAGCTGGTCGGTGCTCTTTGGACTCTGTTAACCAATCAGCCTATTAGGTTCACCTATCTCATCACCGCCTCTCATACATACCCGATGGCTTTAGCAGAGGCGGCTTGCTGAATAAACATCGGCAAAGGTTCAGAAATTTGGGGAACTGTCGGGTCTAAACAAAAAGCAGAACAAATAAAGCTTTGTATTAATATGACTGGAGCAACCTGCTGCATTGCAAGAGAAGACAGATAACTTCTTTTTTTTTTTTCTTTTAATATTATAATTTTTTTTATTTTTTTAATTATAAACTTTTTTTTTTAATATTATATTTTTTTTTTATTTTTAGTTAATTATAACTTTTTTTTTCTTTTAAAATAATATTTTTTTAATTTTTTTTTAATTTATAACTTTTTTTTAATATAATTTTTTTTATTTTTTTAATTATAACTTTTTTTTTTAATATTATATATTTTTTATTTTTAGTTAATTATAATTTTTTTTTTTTTTCTTTTAAAATAATATTTTTTTTAATTTTTTTTTAATTATAATTTTTTTTTTAATATTTATAATTTTTTTTATTTTTTTAATTATAACTTTTTTTTTTAATATTATATTTTTTTTATTTTTAGTTAATTATAACTTTTTTTTTCTTTTAATAATAATATTTTTCTTAATTTTTTTTTAATTATAACTTTTTTTTAATATTATAATTTTTTTTATTTTTTTTATTATAACTTTTTTTTTTAATATTATATTTTTTTTATTTTTAGTTAATTATAACTTTTTTTTTTTCTTTTAAAATAATATTTTTTTTAATTTTTTTTTAATTATAACTTTTTTTTAATATTATAATTTTTTTTATTTTTTTAATTATAACTTTTTTTTTTAATATTATATTTTTTTTTATTTTTAGTTAATTATAACTTTTTTTTTCTTTTAAAATAATATTTTTTTTTAATTTTTTTTTAATTATAACTTTTTTTTAATATTATAATTTTTTTTTTTTTTTTTTATTTAATTATAACTTTTTTTTTTTAATATTATAATTTTTTTTTTTTAATTATTATAGCTGTTTTTTTTTTTTTTTTGTTATTTTAATGGTTGAACTGGATGGACTTTTGTCTTTTTTCAGCCGGACTAACTATGTAACTATGTAAGATAAACGCCGGATTAGAGCGCGCTTTCCGCTATTATTGTATTCTGTCCCGGAAGCGCAGGAAGATATAAGAGGAAATCTCTCTGCGGTGAGGAGGAATCACTTCCCACTGGATTCCATTATGTGCACCGCGGACTTCCTGGCAGCACCGATAGAAGTCCGTTGGATCCAGAGGTTAGGTTTATCTTCGCAGCTCTGTGATCATTTTTACTCACTGTACACTTTTATGGCATTTAAACCCCTCCCCCTCCTGAGGATTTCCCCCCTTCCTGACCAGGCCATCTTTTGCGATACGGAGCTGCATTACTTTATCTGACAATTGCGCGGTTGTGCAACGCTGCATCTAAATGAAATTTACGTCCTTTTTTTCCCACAAATTTAGCTTTTTTTTTTTCGGTGGTATTTGATTGCCTGTGTGATTTTTTTAATTTTTTTTGCTTAAAAAAAAAAAAAAGACTGACAATTTTGAGGAAAAAACAATATTTTGGACTTTTTGCTATTAACCGCTTACCTGCCGCCGTATAGCAGATATACTGCTACAGGGCAGCACAGGTGTGCAAAATAACGTATATATACATGATTTTGCATTTCCAGGTAGGGCGCGCGCGCACGAGCTGCGCGTGCGCCCTACCCGTGCCGCCATTCGCAGCTGTGGATGTCAATCACCGGGTCCCGGCCGATGATTACCGTTTTGTTTACCGTCTTCCTCCGTCAGCTTGGGCACACTGCACAGCACAGCCATCCCGATCAGTGTGTTTACAGTGAAGCACACACCCCCACTTTGCCCCCTATTAAAACATTTTCTACACACAGCTAACCCTTTGATCGCCCTCTCATATTAACCCCTTCCTGCCCAGTGCCATTAGTACAGTGTCAGTGCTGTTTTTTAGCACTGATTACTGTATTGGTGTCACTGGGGATGTCAGTGACACCAAGTTAGTTCCCCCCCAGTGTCAGAATGCCCGTCGCAGTCCAGCTAAAAGTTGCTGATCGCCGCCATTACTAGTAGGAGAAAAAAAATTAAATAAAATCACAGAATCTATACCGCCATTTGTAGACACTATAACTTTCACGTAAACCAATTAATTTATCAGAATTGTTTTTTTTAGCAAAGACACGGAGCAGAATAAATTTGGGCTGAAATTCATGACAAAATTTGATTTTTGACATTTTTTTCTGGTCATGTTTAATAGCAAAAAGTCCAAAATATTGGGTTTTTTTTTCTCATTATTGTCGGTCTTTTTTTGCTTCTAGCACCAAAAAAAACCCCTGCACACGTGATCAAATACCACCTTAAGAAAGCTCAGTTCGTGGGAAAAAAAGGATGTAAAATGTAATTTGGGTGCAGCGTTGCATGACTGCGCAATTGTCCAGATAAAGTAACACAGCGCCATAACGCAAAAAACGGCCTGGTCAGGAAGGTGGGGGGGGGGGGGGGGGGGCAGTCCTCTGGAGGGCGAGTGCTTAAACACTTCCAGTAAAAAATTTAAAAAAAATAAAATTTCGTCATAAATTTACAGCAAAATGTCTCCCGCTCGTCTTTGCTAAAAAAAAAATCCCGATATGTGTAAATTAATTGGTTTACGTGAAAGTTATAGCGTCCACAAATGGCGGTATAGATAATGGGATTTATTTTTTTTCTACTAGTAATGGCGGCGATCAGCAACTTTTAACGAGACATTCTAACACTGAGTGGGAATTGACTTGGTGTCACTGACATCCCTAGTGACACCAGTACAGTGATCAGTGCTAAAAAACAGCACTGACACTACTAATGACACTGGGCAGGAAAGGGGGTTAATATGAGGGCCGATCAAAGGGTTAACTGTGTGTAGGGAGTGTTTTACAAGCGGGCGGAGTGGGGGGGGTGCTTCACTGTAAGCACACTAATCAGGATGCCCGAGCTGGCTGACTGTTTGCTAACAGTCTTCCTCCCTGTCGGAGATGCTCGGTAATCACTGGGCACTGATGGGTAATTACCGGCTGGGACCCAGTGATTGGCGGGCCGAGAATGGTGGCGCGGGTAGGGTGCGCGCCTCCTAGCCAGGAATGCAAAATCACATATATTTGTGATTGTGCACACCCCTGCCGCCCTGGGGAAGCGGTTTTTAAAGTGCATTTCTGCACACATTCACACGGAGAGAAACTAGTGAGGGATCCTTCCTACAAAATGTTTAATGCTGACCCCTGTCTTCCCTCAGTTTTACCGGATTCACTCTGGAATGAAACGGCTTATGCTGGTCATACTCGTGTAGATTTTTTCAGATGAGAATGTTAGCTTATGAAAAAGTCATGAGAAAATTCTTTGAAACATTCGCTGAATGACAGGATGTCGTTCAAAATTGTCTTTTGCTTTTAACATTCGAGTTTAAAATGAATTGTGATTTCGTAATGTGTCCTCGCACTAGTCTCTGGTCATCTCCTGTACTGTGTCGCAGTCTCTGGTCAATCTCTGTACTATGTCCGCAGTCCTTGTCATTCCTGTACTGTGTCCGCAGGTCTAGTAGGTCATCACCTGTTACCGTTGTCGCAGTCTCTGGCCATCTCCCGTACTGTGTCCTGCGAGGTCTCTGGTCATCTCCTGTACGTGTCCGCAGTCTCTGTCAATCCTCCTGTACGTGTCCGCAGTCTTCTGGTCCATCTACTGTACCGTGTCCGGGGGGGGGGGCAGTCTTGGTCATCTACTGTACTGTGTCCGCAGTCTTTCTGCAGTTCATGTCCTGTTACCGTAGTCGCAGTCTCACGTCATCTCCGTACTGTGTTCCGCAGAAGTCTCTGGGTCATCTCCTGTACCTGTGTCCCGCAGTCCTGGTCATCTCCTGTACTGTGTCCGTCTGTCTCTTGGTCATCTCCTGTAACTGTGATCCGCAGTCTCTGGTCATCTCTGTTACCCGTGTCCCAGTCTCTGGTCATCTCCTGTACGAGTTGTCCGCAGTCTCGTGGTCATCTCCCGTACAGTGTCCGCATGTCTCTGGGTCAAGCTCCTGTACTGTGTCCGCAGTCTCTGGTCATCTCCTGTGCATGTGTCCGCAGTCTTCTGGTCATCTCCTGTACTGGGTCCGCAGTCTCCCATTGTCATCCACTGTACTGTGTCCGCAGTCTCTGGTCATCATCCTGTACTGTGTCCCGCAGTCATCTGGTCATCTCCTTACTGTTGTCGCAGTACTCAGTATCTCCTGTACCTGTGTCCGCAGTCTCCGTATCCTCCTGTACTGTGTCTCGCAGTCCTCTCGTGTCACAGTGTATGTTCTAACTGTACTGTGGTCCGCCAGTCTCCGGTATCCTCCTGTACCGTGTCGCAGTCTTCCGGTCATCTCCTGTGCGTGTCCGCAGTCTCTGGTCATCTCCTGTCCGTGTCCGCAGTCTCTGGTCATCTACTGTACTTGTGTCCGCATTCTACTGGTCATTCCCTGTACTGTGTCCGCAGTCGTCTGGTCATTCCTATACTTGTTCCGCAGTCTCTGGTCATCCCTGTAGTATGTTCCGCAGTCTCTGGTCATCTCCTGTAGTATGTTCGCAGTCTCTGTACTATGTTCCGCAGTCTCTGGGTCATCTCCTGTACTATGTACCGCAGTCTCTGGTTCATCTCATGGTAACTTACTGTGTCCGCCAGTTCTCTGGACATCTCCTGTACTGTGTCCGTGTCTCTGGTCATGCCCTGTACAGGTGGTCAGTCTTGGTCATCTCCTGTACTGTCGTCCCGCAGTCTCTGGTCCATCTCCTGTGCTGTGTCCGCAGTCTTGGTCATCTCCTGTACTGTGTCCGCAGTCTCTGGTCTTCCCCCTGTACTGTGTCCGCAGTCTCTGGTCATGCCCTGTACTATGTCCGCAGTCTCTGGTCATCTCCCTCTGCAGTCTCCGGTACTGTATGTCGCAGTCTCCAGTCATCTCTGTTACTGTGTCGCAGTCATCTCCTCTGGTCAGTCTCCGGTCCGCTGTACTGTATGTCCGCATCTCTCTGTCGCCAGTCATTCCCTGTACTATGTCCGCAGTCTCTGGTCATCTCCTGTACTATGTCCGCAGATCTCTGGTCATGGTCATGTTCTCTACTGTATTGTGTCCGCAGTCTCTGGTCATCTCCTTGTCCGCAGTCCGCATGTACTATGTCCGCGTCTCTGGTCATCTCCTGTACATGCTCTGGTCCGCAGTCAGTCTCTGGTCATCTCCTGTGCCCGCATCTTTTGTTCATTTTGCTGGAGCTACTGGTCATCCACCTGACCCTGTACTGTGTCCACATCCCCTGTACCGTGTCCGCAGTTCTCTGTGTCATCTCCTGTACTATTCCGCAGTCTCCTGGTCATCTCCTGTACTATGTCCGCAGTCTCTGGTCATCCCTGTACTGTACCGTGTCCGCAGTCTCTGGTCATCCCCTGTACCGTGTCCATTGGTTCAGAATATTTTTTTTTCTTGTTTACCTCCTCTAAAACCTAGGTGTGTCTTATGGCATGAAAAATACGGAATATTTTTTCTACCCCAGCCTGACTCAGCCTCGCCTCGCCCCTTTTCATTCATTGCATTTCAGTACTTTCAATCATGGAGGCTCAGCATCACGTTGCCATTTGCACCCCTGCTGGGGAGATTTACCTCACTCCCTGTATGGGTGACCCCTGCTGGGGAGATTTACCTCACTCCCTGTATGGGTGACCCCTGCTGGGGAGATTTACCTCACTCCCTGTATGGGTGACCAAACAGGAAAAAAGAAGAAGAAATCTCTCCAACAGGGTGACTGACAGCATTAAAAAAAAAAGAAAGAAAAAAGAAACACTAATAGTTTCTCATCTCATATAAATCAAATGTCTGGATTTCTTCTTTGGGTTCAGTTTCTATTTCAGAACCTGAGAGTGCAGAGGTATGATTGGCTCCCTGTAGTCATGTGCTGTCAGGATGTCACACTGAGTGTTGTCTTCTCATACATACCATCCAGGATCTGCGGGCGATTCTTCGTGTTCTCTCTCCGTGACGTCATAAGGAGAGATACGAGTCCTTTCAGCAGTGCCAGCCGCACATCGGTGACCATCAGCTCCCGAATCAGCTGCAGAGCTGCAACCAATCAAAATGCAACAATGAGCAAACCTTCTAGTATTTGTAAAACTGCTCAACAGGGACTGCAATCTCCCACCAGTGTGTGCTGGGCCTTGCGGTTCCACAACAAGTAAAATCAGAGCACTGTTAATTCTATGCAGCAGACACTGCAGTCATGGGAAAGTTCGAACATTTGTTCAATGTACATCAACCACTTGTCCTCAGCCTGTCCTGGACATCAAGTGGTGCAGCTGCAGCCATGATCTTTTTTTTTTTTTTTTTTTTTTTTTTTCCAGATGGCAATTGGCTGTTTAGTAAATGTAATCTGGGCACTTTCACAGTGAGAAGAGAAGAACCTACCCCCCCCCCCCCCCCCGCGCCAACATGCTTGATCAGGCCCCTGATGTCTCCATAACGAGGACCCGTTACCTGCTAACACATAGGGATATCACATATCCTTGGGATATCAATGAAGTTAAAAATAAATGTTTGAAAACTTTAAATTGTAATAAAATAAATAAATATTAAACATAATAAAAAAAATTAAAACAAAAGCACCCCCAACCCCCATACATAAATGTAAATGTAAATGTGAGGTATTATTATACAGGATTTATATGGCGCCAAACAATATACAATATAACGGGAGACAATACAGCAACAATACAGTTCAATACAAGAGGGATAGGAGGGCCCTGATCCTGGGAGCTTACAATCTAAGAGGGAGGGGCTGGTGGTACAAAAGGTAATAACTGTGGGGGATGGACTGGTAGGAGGAGTAGAAGATTCCGTTACTAGCTGAGGGCAGGATAGGCTTCCCTGATGGCACGAGGACGCTGAGCGGCAGGGAGAGCGGTCAGTGCGAGGCAGCAGGTGAGGCCACCGTGTGTTCCATTCTACCGCTCAGTTATCTATCCATAGAGCCTGTCTGATCCAGCCATCTAAAGATTCCAGAGGAGGAAGTTCCTGTACCCAGGCATCTGCACCCATCCAGTCCTTAAAGGGACCTCTGACCAGCTGGATCCTAAACATTCCTGTGCGCTCCAGACGACACTACCCACCCAGAGGTAGGATTGTCACAGCCCCAAACCAGACCTTTAAGGAGGCTTCTGCTGGTTTATACAACACGTACTTACATTACGCATCTGGAGAGTGCGTAATCTTACTACACTATTCGGAGCACCACCATTGGATTTTCTACTGGGATAGAAGCAAACCAACTCCACCACCTTTCCGACCACTGGGTCTGGGTAAGTGGGCCCAGAGAAGGTCTCCATAGGAAAGTGCTGCGGGAGAAGAAGAATCCACTGCTTGAAGGATTAGAAGATTCGGTTATTAGCTGAAGGCAGGATAGGCTTCCCTGAAGAGAGGGCTTTTCAGAGATCACCTAAAAGTGAGCAGAGTAGGCGATAGTCAGATAGATTGTGGTAGAGAGTTCCAGAGGATGGGGGTGTGACCAGGGGCAGACTGACAACTCATGGGGCCCCCGGGCAATAGGGGATCATGGGGCCCCTGTGTCCTTGCCCAAACTCAAAAAAGCCTATGAAAAAGGTACCAGGGGCATCTCATGGGGCCCCCTACTGACCCCCGGGCGGTGCCCGAGTTTCCAAATGGTCAGTCCACCCCTGGGTGTGACAATCCCACGATCGCTGCCACCAATATGTGACGAGCGCGGCTTCAGATCCCAGCCCTTCTCACCAAATTTGTGACCGAAGGACTAGCCAATCTAAAGCCGCGATGTCACGTGCGTAACAATGCCACACCCAGCCTCACCCTGCACATGATTTTCTGGCTAATTGGACCACAATCTATGTACCAGCAGCCTGCATGCGATTGTTACTGGGTCAGGTTAATTACGCAATTAAGCCTTCACACTGCCATCACTGCCTTTTTGTACAGAGAAAGAGGAAACTCTGCGTTATCAGCTATAACACTATAATGGTTGAGATAATCATCTGTATAACATGGTCACCGCAGGCCGGTTATACAGAGGGTTAAACAAACACAGTAGTGCTCTTTTAGAGGCAGGAATTCGTAAATTGCAATAAAGAGCTATAGAAACAGTTCAACACTTTCAGAAAGAAAGATTTATTACTAAAAGGGCAAACGGGTGCAATAAAAATATTTACAGAAAGAAGATGTAACCAATATATATATATAAATATACAAAGAACAACAGCACAGCAAAGAGATAACAGAGAGAAGTTAGAGAGTTAAAGTACTTGCCAAAGTCCTGGGTTAGCAGATCAAGTTTCAGAGCAAAAGGGTGCGGGTCTCCCCAGGTGGTTCTGATGTTAAAAAGGGAGAATTCTTCAACTTAACTTTCTTAGGCCTGACAACCCAATTTGTAGTTCCCCAGCAGGGGGTGTCTCTGAAGTCAAGGACCAATACCCCGTTTAGGGCGGGAAGGTCTGGGCGTAGACCTAAACTAGAGCCAAAATCTCTTTTAGTTCATATTTTGGCTCATAACTTTCCATATGCACAAGTGACACTCCATCCACAGGTAGATTATAATGCAGACACGTCTGAGGATTGATTAGATATGAAATATGAAATTCTACACTGAATGGTTCACGAGATCTACTTTTCTGCTTTCCTATGTATTCCAGCCAAGGAGAGTGATCTATCAAACTGTTCGTCTCCTCTTGGCCAATCTGACGATATGCCTGGTTTTTATGTAAGTCTCTCATATTCCAAGATATGAGACATAGAGGAAAAATGGATTTTAAAAGTGTTTTATCTGGTTCTTGCTTCCTTGGAATGCCTTGAACTCCTGGGAAGGCTTGAGTTATCTTTTACGAGGTGTGATATTGCACAGCTCTCTCAGACAACCAGGCACCTCGAGGCTCCCTGCTGGGCTCTGGCCTGCCTGCGACACTTCCAACACACATATGTCCCTGTGGATTAGCAGAGAGGGGAGGGGGAGAATGAGGGACAACATGGAGATTTCTTAACAAAATGGAGGACTGCGTCAGTCTCTGGGTGTACAATTGCAACAGGGGGAGGCTCTGGAGAAGTCCTGGAGACGAGCATGAGAGGAGGAGACAAGGGAGCTGGAGAGCAGGAGGTCATGTGAGGAGCGGAGAGGACGGTTTGGGTGATATTTGGAGACAAGATTGATGATGTAATTGGGGGCGGAGTTATAAATGGTTTTATATGTTAATGTTTTGAATTTTATTAGTTGGGCAATGGGAAGCCAGTGGAGGGATTGGCAGGGAAGAGTGGAGGACACTGAGTGGAAGCCAGTGGAGGGATTGGCAGAGAAGGTGGAGAAAACTGAATGGAGGCCAGTGGAGGGATTGGCAGAGAGGGGTGGAGGACACTGAGTGGAGGCCGGTGGAGGGATTGGCAGAGAGGGACGGAGGACACTGAGTGGAGGCCGGTGGAGGGATTGGCAGAGAGGGACGGAGGACACTGAGTGGAGGCCGGTGGAGGGATTGGCAGAGAGGGACGGAGGACACTGAGTGGAGGCCGGTGGAGGGATTGGCAGAGAGGGGGTGGAAAACACTGAGTGGAGGCCATTGGAGAGATTGGCAGAGAGGAATGGAGGACACTGAGTGGAGGCCAGTGGAGGAAATGGCAGAGAGGGGTGGAGGACACTGAATGGAGATCAGTGGAGGGATTGGCAGAGAGGGTTGGAGGACACTGAATGGAGATCAGTGGAGGGATTGGCAGAGAGGGGTGGAGGACACTGAATGGAGATCAGTGGAGGGATGGCAGATATGGAACGATTGGTAAGGTGGATGAGTCTGGCAGCAGCATTCATGATAGGCTGAAGAGGGGATAGCCTGCGATGAGGTCAGCCAATGAGGAGGGAGTTGCAATAGTCAAGGCGAGATATTACAAGGGAATGAATAAGTTGCTTAGTAGTTTCCGAGGTTAAGAACGGGCGTATCTTGGCGATGTTGCGGAGGTTGGAGATGTTGCGGAGGTTGGAGATGTTGCGGAGGTGAAGTCTACACGATTTGGACAGTGATTGGATTTGGGGCTGAAAGGACAGATGGGAGTCTAGGATCACACCTAGTACCCTGGCATGAGGGGAGGGAATGATGGTTGTATTATTGATCTTGATGGAGAAGTCGGGGGAGGGGGCATGGGCTGGAGGGAATAGTATGAGCTCTGTTTTGGAAAGATCGAGTTTGAGGAAGTGGAGTGACAAAAAACGACAACTTTAAAAAAACTCGCCATGCCTCTAACTAAATACCTTGGAGTGTCTACTTTCCAAAAAGGGGTCATATGGGGGGTATTTTTACTGTCCTGACACTTTAACCACTTGCCGACCGCGCATAGCCGAATGACGGCTGCACCGCGGCCGGCTAGTTCTGGGTGGACGTCATATGACGTCCTCCCAGAACGCGCTCTCCTGCGCGCCCCAGGGGGCGCGCACCCGGCGATCTCCGTGATCGCTGTGTCCTACGGACACAGCTGATCACGAGATGTGGTGAAAGGCCGATCCCACCGGCCTTTTACCACGTGATCAGCGGTGTCCAATGACACGCTGATCACAGGAAAATGCAAGTGCCGGTTCTCGGCTGCACTTTCCTCACGCTGTCAGATCGTGAGGAAAGTACTGCCGAGAACCGGCAGTTGTCAGAGCGGGGATCGGCACCGATCATCAGGGCACTGATGATCAGTGCCCTGATGATCGGTGCCCAGCAGTGACACCCGCAAGTTCCTCCCAGCAGTGCACCCACTAGCCCCGCCCACCCATGCCCAGCAGTGCCCCTACCTGTGCCCAGCAGTGCCCCCACCTGTGCCCAGCAGTGCCCCCACCTGTGCCACTCTGCAGTGCCACCTACCTGTGCCCAGAAGTGCCACCTACATGTGCCAGCAGTGCCACCCACCTGTGCCCACCCACCTGTGCCCACCAGTGCCACCCACCTGTGCCCACCCACCAGTGGTGCCCACCAGTGCAGCCCAGCAGTGCTGCCAGTCAGTGCCACCAGTCAGTGCCCAGGGGTTGTGCCAGTCAGTGCCGCCAGTCAGTGCCCAGAAGTGATGCCAGTCAGTGCCGTCTATCAGTACCCATAATCAGTGTCACCTATCAGTGCCGCCTATCAGTGCTGCATATCAGTGCCGCCTATCCGTGCCACCTCATTAGTACTGCCTATCAGTGCCCTTTAGTGCTGCCTATCAGTGCCCATCAGTGCCGCCTATCAGTGCCCATCAGTGCCGCCTCATCAACGCAAATCAGTGAAGAAGAAAAAATACCTGTTTGAAAAATTTTATAAAAGAAACAAATAAACTTTTTTTTTTTTTTTCAAATTTTTTGCACTTTTTTTAATTTATAGCGCAAAAAGTAAAGCGCCCAGTGGCGATTAAATACCACCAAAAGAAAGCTCTATTTGTGAGAAAAAAATGATCAAAATTTCATATGGGTACAATGTTGCATGACGGCGCAATTGTCAATCAAAGTGCGGCAGCGCTGAAAGCTGAAAATTGGCCTGGTAAATAAGGGGGTATAAGTGCCTGGTAGGCAAGTGGTTAAGGGCCTCAAGAAATGAAATTGGCTGTCAGTACATCAGGATCAATCGATTTTCAGATATATATCCGTTGGTTGTAGACTCTTTAACTTTCCTACAGACTAAACAATAAACTGATTTGGTTTTTTTTTTTTAGCAAAGAAATTCAGTGGATTACATTTTGGAATAAATGTATGAAGAGAGTTTATTTATTTGCAAAATGTTATAACAGAAAGGAAAAAAACACATTTCTTTGTTGTTTATTTACCATAAAATAAAAATAAACCCTTAGCTCTATTTGTGTGCAAAAAAAAAAATAAAAATGTTGCATGACTGTGCAACTGTCGCTCAAAGTGACAGCACTGAAAGGTGAAAATGGGCCTGGGTAGGAAGGGGGTAAAAGTGTCCGGGATTGAAGGGGTTCATGGAAACATGCCATGAGAGAAACACATGGGCTTTCACTCCTGATTTCCGTTTGGAAATGCTGGTTGCCTGGCTGTCATCCTCTCCACCATCTCCCTGGGATTGGACCCCCAGAACACACCAAACTTCACTCCATGTCCCCCTCTTCACACCCACCCCCCCAGGACCAGGGGAACCCTCAAATTAATGTTTTCATCTCCATTGACACGTGTTGTGTGTTTGACACCCAAAGAGAAGCCCCCGCTCCATTTTTTGGGCAGCAAGCGTTGATTGGTTCCTAAGCGCACTTTGCAGTGTGACCCCCGGTTTCATACCTATGTGGCCGTGCATTTTGTGCATTCATTTGGATGGACTCCCTTGCCTGTGACACGCAGGGAAAGAAGTCCCTGCATTTCTTTTGAAAACACAGCCGAGGTTCCCAGTGCGGTTGCGTCTCCCAGTGCGGGCGGCGTGCCATTACAACTAATAGCACCCGCCCGCGGGTCCGCAATTCTCTGTGCGGGTGGTGCAGCTACATGGATATATGTGCGGATCCGCAGCGGCACCACCCGCACAGATGTGAACCGGGGGTGATTGTGACATTCGGTGTTCTTATCGACACGCAGATGTGCATTGCATGTTTTGCTGCATCTCCAAATTGCCTCGTAATGGGGCCTTCCTGCGACTCGATGACAGAATCTGATCTGTTATAAAGTATCTCCAGCCTCCTGATACATTCTCCACAATAATGACCCAATTATTATCTATTGATCACCGCGCCCCTTGCATCTATCCTCCTCGGATTCTCAATAATAAATGTCTTTTCTCTTGATTACTATCATTCCTGTAGTGATTGCATTGTATCCTTTTCACTTTATGCCATTTAAAGTACATCTCGTGTTTTGTTACAATTTTATATTCCTTCATGTAAATGGAGACTTCCTGATATTCTCACCAACTGATCTGTTACAATGTATCTATCCTGCGATATCAATAACTAATAACATTCCTCTCAATCATTATCGTTCCTATAGCGATCTCTCGAAGTATCATCATCTCTATCATTGACCAGGAAGGTTAGCCCGGATCTCTCCGAGCCTCAAAAAATTGGAGTAAACTCATAATTGTTCCTCTCCACGGAAATCTTTAGTAAAAGGCGAAAGATTTATTCGATCTGAAGAGAAACCAGAGTATACCGACCTCTGCGACCAGCCCGACCCCGACTCTGCCCGACCTCTGCTCAGCTCATGGAGAGCTCACTCCGCCATCATTCCCTATTACTACTTCTCTCCTCTCAGCGGCGCTCTATCGATCCCTCACCTCCTAATAGTTCTATAAACGTCACACAATGAACTGTAATATATAATTCTAGGTGAGCACAACACACGGGACGGGCGGCAATGCATCACCGGTATGTAAATAGAAACAGTCAGCGCTCCGCCCCCTTCTGGGCCGCTGCCGTCCATAGCTCCTTACATGGAGGGGGAGGGACTCAAATGTGGGGGCGGAGTGTTCACTTTATACAAAGCTGCACACACACACACCATTTACTAAACAGACCAATCAGATCCTGAGAGATGCTGAGTTCAGAAGTCCCAGGACAGCACTGTGTGTGTGATCCTTCCAGCAGACAACATTGTGGGACTACAAGTGTCAGCATTCCCAGAGCAGCAACTGGACATCTCAGACTTCAATAGACAGAATACTGAGCAACATTGTATAATACAGAGAACACCTCCCTCCTTACCGCACCCACCTCCAAACCGAAACCCCCTCCATCCACTCCCCACCCCCCCCCCCCTCCCCCCCTCCAACCCCCTCCCCCTCCCCCCCCCCCCCCCCCACGCCCCCCCCCTCCCTACCCCCCCCCCCCCCACCCCCCCATATCCCCCCCCTCCCCACCCACCCCCCCCCCCCCCTCCACACCCCCCCCCCCCCCTCCCCCATACCCCACCCACCCCCCCCCCCCCCCCCCCCCACACCCCCCCCCCCCCACCCCTTCCACCCACCCCCCCCCTCTCCCCAACCCCCCACCCCCCCCTTACCCCCCCCCCATACCCCCCCCCCCCTCCACCCCCCCCCCCCCCCCCCCCCCCCCCCCCCCCCCCACCCCCCACCCCCCACCCCCCCCCCCACCCCCCCCCCCCCCCCTCCATCCCCACCCCCCCCCCACCCCCCCCCCCCCCCCCAACCCCCCCCCCCCCCTCCCCCCCCCCCCCCCCCCCCCCCCCACCACACCACCCCCCCCCCCCCCCCCCCCCCCCCCCCCCCCCCCCCCCCCCCCCACCCCCCCCCCCCCCCCCCCCCCCCCCCCCCCCCCCCCCCCCCCCCCCCCCCCCCCCCCCCCCCCCCCCCCCCCCCCCCCCCCCCCCCCCACCCCCCCCCCCCCCCCCCCCCCCCCACCCCCCCCCCCCCCCCCCCCCCCCCCCCCCCCCACCCCCCCCCACCCCCCCCCCCCCCCTACCCCCCCCCCCCCCCCCCCCCGCCCCACCACCCCCCCCCACACCCCCCCCCCCCCCCCCCCCCCCCCCCCCCCCCCCCCCCCCCCCCCCCCCCCCCCCCCACACAACCCCCCCCCCCCCCCCCCACCCCCCCCCCCCCCCCCCCCCCCCCCCCCCCCCCCCCCCCCCTAGCCCCCCGCCCCCCCCCCCCCCCCCTCCCCCCCCCCCCCCCCCCCCCCCCCCCCCCCCCCCCCCCCCCCCCCCCCCCCCCCCCCCCCCCCCCCCCCCCCCCCCCCCCCCCCCCCCCCCCCCCCCCCCCACCCCCCCCCCCCCCCCCCCCCCACCCCCCCCCCCCACCCCCCCCCCCCCCCCCCCCCCCCCCCCCCCCCCCCCCCCCCACCCCCCCCCCCCCCCCCCCCCCACCCCCCCACACCACCCCCCCCCCCCCCCCCCCCCCCCCCCCCCCCCCCCCCCCCCCCCCCCCCCCCCCCCCCCCCCCCCCCCCCCCCCAC